ACTCTTTCATTCTTGAATTGAATAATTATGATGTCCAGGAGATGTGGTTTCAACAAGGCGGCGCAACAAGTCACACAGCTCGTGCCACAATCGATTTATTGAAAGAAACGTTTTGAACCTGTGAATTGGCCTCCAAGATCTTGTTTTTTGATACCGCTAGACTACTTTCTGTGGGGCTATGTAAAGTCATTGGTCTATGCGGATAATCCACAAACGCTTCGCCATTTGGAAGACAACATTCGCCGTGTTATTGCCAATATACGGCCACAAATGTTGGAAAAAGTCATCGAAAATTGGACGTCCAGACTGGACTACATCCGCGCCAGCCGTGGCGGTCATATGCTAGAAATCATATTTAAAATGTAATGCCACAAGATAATCTTTCGGATAAATAAAATTCATATCGCTTCTATTTAAAAAAGGCCTCGGCTGCCTTGCTTCCGCGATACATATAATCTGTGTATGTCGGCTCTTGGGTATTGCACTCCATACATATCAAGAAGTTTTCTGGTTCCTCTATTCGGAGTTCGTATTTCCTCTAATCTAAAGTCAATAATTCCAAAACTAAATTGAGGAACGGGTAAGGCGAACTGTCCTATGGCACTGATTTTATTTTTACTGCTCAATTCTGTTTTTGAAATCTGTGGAATGCGTTTTCAGTATTCCTTGATCAGTTGGTTCTTTATGTTTTCCTGGTTCATTGTCTCTCCTTCCTCTATGCCTAAATATTTATAGTTTTCTTCCCCTTCTAGCTGACGAAAATTAAACTGACTCTCTCTGGTGTTATCTTTAGTTTGTAGTTTTCCCATCTTGAATACTGCTTTGGCAGACTTCTCTATACCAAATTGACCATCGTGAGTTGATCGTCTAGCTCTGCTTCGTTTTTCCCAATGACCTTCAGATCGCCTATATATAATAGGTGATCTATTTTGATGCCCTTCATAACAAAACCCGCTTTCAGTTCGTTAAGCTCATTGGAAAGTGGTATAAGTGATACAAAATAAGAGCGGTGATAAGGAATCTCCTTGAAATATTCCCCTATGTATACTTATGTTGGGTACCGTTATGGTTTCAAGGGAGGTGTTTAAGTAGACGCTTGTGTTCTAGTTCTTCATCATGATCCTGCATGTTGCCACTAATATGTGATGGACTACGGTACACTCCAAGCTTTTCAAAATCGATGAGTGAGGCACGCTATCATAAGCTTTTCTGTAGTCCACCCACGCTAGAGTCAGATTGCGTTTCCTTTGTTTACATTCTTCCAGGATATACTTTGACATTAATAACTGGTCCTTGCAACCTTTAGATTCTCTGCAGCAGCCTTTTTGTTCTAAGCGTAGTATCGCCTTCGTATCCAAAACCTCTTGAAGTCTAGTTGTTAAAATGGTTGTGAAATTTTTGTCATTGGTGCATAGCCAGGTAATGGGCCTGTAGTTTTTTACGTCCCTCATGTTTTCGTTCTTAGGGAGCAAGAACGTCCTACCAGTGGCCAGCCCATTAGCAAATGTATTAGGTTTTACTATTTCGTTATATTTGTCCGCCAGCGCAGAGTGGACTGATATCAGGTTTTTTAGCCAGAAGTTGGGGATCATGTCATGCCCTGGAGCCTTCCAAGTAGCTGCTTCTCGCAGAGCTTCTGTAACTTCATTTGTACTTAATTTTTGCCACTTCATTCTTTTTTCTTTGTACCTCCGTTCGAAGCGCGGTATCCCCCTTGATCTCTTTTTTTCTGTCGGAACTAAAGTTTTTATTTTGCAAATATTGCTCCTCTCTCGTTGTGTATCGTTGTAGTCTTTGCCAAAGCGCCGCTACTCTTTGTTTTAGTTTTTCTCTTATCTCAATCAGACCTTTGTTTGTTTGAATGTTTTGTTTCTTTATCAGTCCTCTGGTTTCTATCTTACATCAGGCATTAATATCTTTAATCTCAGATATTCTTGATAAATCCCGTCTCAGTTTCTCTAAATCTATTTTTTAATCTTTCTATCCAGCTCACGCGTCTATCTCTTTGTCTGTTTTTTGTTTTTGTAGGTTTTCCCAGTACATTTTATGTTATTGTTACTGCTAAGGCATACACCAGTGTCGATGGTCTACCTGATTTTTGGTTTAACCACTCGTTTATAAATTTGTTTGCGGATGCAATCAATTTTCGCTCTTCATTCGTCATTATTATCTTAGGTAGCCTAAATTCAATTCCGAGTTTTTCGTAGTTCTCTATTATTTTCCTTTCAAAAGATTCTTCGTGTGGTAGCTTGTAGTTTCGTGTTTCATTTGGATTTTTAATTCCCGCAGTTCATCTTCGTTTAGTTTTGCTTCATCCTCCTTGTTTTCTCTTTGAGTCTCGATTTCGCTTGTGTTTATCGTCTTTCTAATATAACTGACTATTTCATCTATTTCAATTTGACTTACTCTACAGTTTTTTACAATACAGTTCTTTTGGTTCAGGAGCTTTTTCGCATCTATATTTGGCCGCCTGTTGGATTTCTCTCTCTCCACAGGCTATACGCAACCTTATAATTGTCACTTGCACTCTCTTTGCAATACTGGAAGCACCACAATACTTCCCTCATTTCTTCTTTTGTCCACGCCACTCGTTTGGGTTTGTACTTGTACTTACTATTGGTCCATCTTGAGTATCCTCCTTATGGTTACCTCCAGTATTTTCAGATGCGTCAACAGCAGTATGCAAATCAGATGCCCTGCTGTTTGTTGTTGAACTATTTGGGGTACTGTTTGCAGGATTTGCTATCCTAGTTCTCGGAGCTCTCCTACACCGTAATGTCAAGTTGCCCTCCCCAGAATCCGCAGGGCAGACTGCAGATGCAGTGTAGGATTCCGAACCGTTGGCTCCACCTACCTGGGGTACAAGATTTATATTTTTACTTGACATCGTTTTCTATTCTTCTTTATTGCTTACATTTCCCTAATGGATAGGAGGGGGAAGCGGAAAGCTTTAATTCTCCGGTGCGATAGGACGATGGAAATGAGTTAAGTGAGTATAAATATGGTTAAGGTATCTGGGATCAAGGACTAGGACAGCGGTCAGCTGCTTCGATTAGCCAGTAGCCTCTTACGACAGGGGAAAGATCCTGTGGTGCTATTCTTGATCCCGCCACCACACGGATTTTATTTTATTATTATTATTATTATTATTATTATTATTGTTGTTGTTGTTGTTGTTATTTAAATGTAATGAGGTGGGTATCAGGTTTCGTCGAGGTGTAAACCGTTGGAGTATTTTAGTGTATCAGAAGGTGGTTTAGATCAATTTAGAGGAATTTCATGAAATTTTTATTGTAGTTGAGCTGTATTAACTCAGAACGCAAGAATCGTGGATCTTGTTGTAGTTGATGTGTATTAACTCAGCACGCAAGGAACCTCGACGTATTAACATCTACAACAGACAACAGTCGGGGTATAGACCCATAGGCCCCTAATTACCCTTCTGCTCTATTGTTCGTTGTTCGCATTCTTATCCAGCTTATTGATAAATATTACAAAAAATTCGATACCAAACAATTATGGATTTCCATACAGAGCGTCACTGTACCTTTCGCAAAGAATAATCCACCATACCATTTAAAGACGAACCTTAACAAAACAATGTTTATGGTCGTTATATTTGGGAACATGAATAATTTCACGCATTGATCAGACGAAAGAAATAAAAACACGAATTGAAACAGCACGGTCGGCGTTTGTCAAGTTTAAAGAGTTCTTTACTAACAGAGTTTGATGCTGTGTTTGAGAACGCGTCAGCTAGTAAGCTTAAATCTAAACTCTTCGAAATATGGAATTAATTATTAAATTGTAAACTTGTATTTCTTAGGTTGTTCCCATCCTACTCTGTAAATGAGAGTAATTCGGTTGAATTTGAAATTAAATAAACAAAAACTCTGAGCCAGAAATATATCGAAAGACAAGAAACATCGAATCTATAATAGTACAATCAAAAGCATAATTATATATACAAATTAGGTATGGCAGATCAAGCAGCGTTGAAAACTCACTGAAAGCAACAGAAAGGGATTTTAAGGAAAGGAAGAACGATATCACAATTTGCTTGACTAAAAAATTTTTTCGCCTTGTGTCGTAAAGTGGAAACTCTTCCCAAAATTACGCGTTTTATTTAGTTTTAAGGTTTTTTCTTCATATTTATAATAAAATAAATATTTAGTCTTAACTGGGTTATTGGGCCCTTATTTGACTATTCGAAAATCATATCCTTGCATTTCTTTTTTCATGAATCTGATTTGAATTGATTGATATGCTAGGAAAAGGCCTTTTTAACTACTGCAAGTTTAATAAAAAACATTCATCGAATTTTCAGAATCTCAAAAAACGTGTTAAACAAAAATATTTGAAGTTGACTCAACCGTAAAACAATACTCAAGGTTTTTATTCAAATTTCTAGTACCATCACGGCACCTCGTTGCACTTATTAGGACAGCCCGTACAAACAAATATAAATCTGTTTCGTATTTCTAGATATCAAAAATAATGATCTAAATGCTCTTGCCCATCAAATATGGCGACAGAACCTCAATAGGATTGAATTCAATTGCGTATTACTATACAAAACGTATTTCAAAAGGGGATATTTGAAACCCGAAGTCAAGCGTAGCAGTAAAATGTTAGCAATTAAATTTTTCCACGTGATTTTAATTACGTTTCCGAGTTGCGAATCGAATAAAAACGACCGCCCAAATTAAAGCAAGCTGCACTTTTCAAAGCGTAGAATTACTTATTTTTATAAGCGATTACAGCTGGAATTTTTGCCTGATATTAATTCTCCGAGCTATTCGATTGCAACATAGCGACATAAAATAAACAACACAGCCAAATTTGCGGGAATTTTATATTCTAAATTTTTCTATACGCCGTCTATCTGGAGTATAAATACAAATCAATCTCCACCGGACATCACCGATGTGTATGAATATCCCAGCTTCATTCTCTGCAAAGGTAAATTGTTAACAATGTATTTCAATATCATTATCGGATACTTGTAAGTATAGTACTTTCACGGATAAGCGGTTTTGGCTCAATGACTGCAATAATAAGGGATGCTACTTGCGGCCTTAAATTGCTATTATTGGTAGTATGGATCAGTTAAAATGATTATTTCAATAGATAATAAGTAGATGGATGTGCTTTTTAATTTTATATTTTCAACTATTAGTGCGTTATTGTTGATTTCTCAAATATTGATTTTAGAAACATCGTCACCCTGAGCTAATGCTACTGCTGAGAAAACAGTTATCTCTCTTGCAAAGAGCACACCGGTTGAGGTAGTTTTATTGCATTCAGCAATCCAAAACTTTGTATCTGTGGAAGTGGCACAGGTCTCACAGAAATTGCAGCTCCGATGTCCATGGTTCCAAAAGCACCGATTGTGAGGCGCAAAGGCTTTTGGCATCTCATTACCATAAAGGAGATTTCTTTTTGAATTTCCAATGGTTGCTCGTACCAGCTACTTTCCAATAGAGCTGTGGCCAATGCTGCACTCTGCAATAGACGGAGCGACCCAAAGTTATGGGAAAGCAATAAATCATCTCGAAAATTATTTTTTCCTTTCTAATCCATGATCACCAATACAAGGAAGGCTAGTTAGCAGGTTATTTTTCAAAATTTAGTCTACCTATATACCATACCATACCGTAGGCTGATCGCAAAAAAGACGTAGATATTTTACAGGATCGCTTGTTAACAAATATGAAAAAAGTTTTTAGAAACATGAGGTTTCAAGATGCTGAATTTGAAATTTGAGAGTGATTTTTAATATTATAGTCCAGTCTGGTCCATAACATGAAGTACACTACAACAAGAATACTGTAAACCAACGTCTTAAGGTGTGCCCATAAATAAAAATCTATAGGATTTAAGTGAGGGGAGCGAGGTGACCAGTGAATTAGTCCAAATCTTCCAATCCAATTTTCACCAGTGTCCAGCATAAAATTACGTACATTGGTTACGGGCATCTAGCAGTATGGGAAATTCCTGTTGAAGACGCTCCAAGTGAGATTCGTTGCTCGAAAAGAACCTGCTACATGGTGCTGTTGGAGTGATTACTCCCTAATATAGTTGGTATAGTACTGGTTTTGCCTTATCAAATTGAAGGACTTCCGTCGGCCTCTGTCATTGGTTAGAGTGAAAAAACTTCTAAAATAACATTGTGGTCGAAATTATGACAAAGAAATACTACGACATACGCTTTCGTAGCATACCGCATACGTGTAGCATATCGTTGCATAAGAGTTACGTGTCATTTCCTCCATTACAATAACCAAAACAAAGACTTTTAGAGAAATTTTGCAAAGAAAATTACTTAAATAATTTATTTTGGTATAAAGCGCTTATGATTTTCTTAACAAAATTGATAAACCAATTAATAAAATAGTCTCTTAATAACACCAAATAACAGTGCCTATTATCAACAGAATCGAGTGAATATTTCGAACCCCCCGTATGTTCCAGTATATCGTCGTTGTCGGCGTATCTCTTTTTTCTTTCGATTTTTCAGAAACAGAGGAAATCATATCTGAAGTTCTGTAGTATCATTTCCAGCAATGAAGCTTTTATTTATGATTTTGTTTTCATGACATCCGCTACGATATTTGGGATCCAGGGATATAGAATGCTACACCACCTAGCATTTTGAGATACAGCCTCTATTTTTTTGTTTGTTAAATTCAGTCAGTCTGTCAGTAGTTCCTCTTCCAAAATATTCATTTTCAAAAAACATTGTCCCTCAAGTCGCTTTGCTTGAGTTTTTCGAACGTCTAAAGAGAAGCGATTGAGTCCGTTGCGAAGAAAGTTAATAATGGATATTGAAGACATAACATATAGAGTAATATTTTAAATTATTTTGTTGTAATCAAACATTGAAAATTACGTGGATCATTTTTAAAAAGTTATTATTGTAAACGCTATGTAGGTGTCGAAAACTGGTTTAACATTGCTGCTGGTGTTCGTCAAGACGGCAAAATATGAAACCAACTATAGAAAATATACGGGATGAGTCAAAAAGTAGATGTCTATACCAAGTTTCTTTTCATTTTAAATGGAACGGATTTTTTTTAAATCCACATTCGAATTGTTCATCAAATTTCACGAACAATTCATTTTACTTTTAAATTTACTTTTAAAATGGACAGGTAAGTAGCCAGTACTAGTAAAGTTCTTAAATTGCCACAATTAGATTTCTGAGTGATATGAATTTATTTTAATCATCCTCTACACACTTTCTTAATGTCCAAAAATTAAACCATACTAATCTAATCTAAATCTAATTAATCTACAAAGAATGTGGAATAATTGAGGCTGTACGACATAAATGAGTCTAATCGTGATCTAAGAGTTTGTTTTTCTGTAATCTGTTTTCCAAAATGAAAAATCGTGTTAATGCCAAATGTAAACAATCTCCTAAGTTGAAATGTTATTCTTCTTCTTCTTTATTAGGCACTTCTGCCAGTTTTACTTCAATGTCATTTTTATCAGAAGTTGTCGTTCCATCTTTTTCGTGAGCATCTTATACTTCTCCGACCGGAAGGCGATTTATCTCCTACTATCCTCACTATCTGTTGTTCAGACATTCTATCCATATACATACTCCATTCTTGCTTTCTATTTCTTGTCAAAGTGTTAATGTTTTCAATTCCATATGTGTCTTATGTTTTCATTTGTTTCCCCAGAGTGTTTTTTCTGCTATTTTAATTAATGTTTTCATTTCATTTGTTTCTAGGCAGTCCTGAGTTTTAGACGTTTCCGGTCTTGTTTCGGCGGTATATGTCATGACTGGTCGGAATACAGATTTATACATGAGGTTCTTAAGTATTTATTCTTCCATATCGTGTAGTTCAATTTTTTGTTTCTTTATTTATCGGAATAGAACAATGACCTAACCCAACTGCGTATTGAAAATTTTATTCGCCAACTTTCTCTTCAACACTAAAAAAATTATTGGTAATAAATCTTTAACCGAATTGCTAAATAAAGCTGGCAATAAATTTAATCACCCTTATTTGCTTGTAGAATTGGCGAATTTTTTCCGAATCTTATTATATGCGGGAAATTAGTTCATAATAAGTGTCTGCGCCGATTAAAATATCGATTTGTCCAGTTGGTAAGATTCTGGATCTGCTAAACGTATACTTGAAACTATGCCTATTTTTTATGTGTCTAATATTTTATGCAGCAACATGCAAATGATTAAGTTTGACCATAGCCTTTCCATATAAAACCTAATTTTCAATTCCACCAATAGAAATATGTTCCGTATAAATATCAGTGTTTAACGAAGAAAACGTCCATTACCGCCCTTGCTCTTTTTTTTTCACTTTTGTGGTTAAATTTAAAATTGCTGTGGCGGCCAAAACCTCAGAATATTTTCCATATATTTAAGTGACCTGAATGAATTTGAATTGTTTCCAACTCTCGCATTATTTTTTGTTCTGAACAATGCGATCCTCTTTCCCTTTCTTTTTGTTGCTTTTGAATTGATTAGTTCCATTTTGTTTTTGGGCAACTCTGACAATTCGAAACCGAATTGCTTGACCCAAAACATAAATTTTGTACATTTAAATATGTTGTGATTGTCCTATTTTACAATACGAACACGAAACCCTTTGAGCTGAAACGCACCTCTTTTCCAAAAATTAAAAGAGCGAGCGATCTTCAAATTCGTAGGACTTTTGTGTCAGAAATCTAACTTTTTTGTAATAAAAACAAGAATTACATCCACATCTACTACCTACTGGTAATTTTGAAAAACGCAAATGTTGTCTTATAATAGATAAAAAAGTTCACAATTGTGATGGCTTTTCTTTTTGATAATTGACGGATGTCAAAAATGCCTTTGACGTGTGAATTTAATTAGTTACTGTCATATCGATCTTTAGCATAGCAGTATCATAATTTCCATCCGATAACGATAAACTGTTAATTAACATGAGTGGCTCCTTTTGGAGAGAATTTTTGAAACATGCAAAACTTTTCATAGTTGTTAATTTTTGCCAATTACAGTAGAAAATTTATCTATAAACCCGTTTCGGTATTCATATTTCCCCGACTATGTAGGCGGATTATATTTTGATAAATGAATGGAAATTTTCCATTAAAATATTTTTACTCTGCCTGAAAAAATCGAAGCATTGCATATGCGATTTACTACCCCTTGGTGATTTATTAAAACTGCCAATTTTTAATTTAATTTTTGGCAATAAACTAAAATACCGATTTTCTGTCTCTTCCTCGTCACTTTTGTTTGCTGCATCGAGCATTTAAAATTGTGTTTACAAGTTAGATAATCTTTCCTTAAGATAAATTCATTGATATCTAAATCATCCTTTTCAAAATTTAAAGTAACAACAATTAAAGCTGCTTCTTTCATTTTAAACGATTTATATTGACGGAATGAAAATAAAATTCAGTTTTTTAGCGATAAACTCTCGTTCAAAGTGTTTCCGTCAAATTCCTTCAGGACTTGAAACGATGAAAAACAATTGAAATGATCTGACCTTGAAAGAGCAAAATTTTTGCGTGTGACTACCAATTGAAGGACCACTCTTTATAAATAATTGCAATAATAATTAAGTAATAATATAATGTTTTACGTTTTACAGTCTTAATTAAGTTAATATTAATTGCTACAATCCTCATCGAGTTGAGCTTAGAACCACGCTTAGGTCCGCTAAATCAACTACTTCACGTTAGATGGCGCTACTAGCCTAAAAGTATTAAAATCTCTTTCGTGCCCTAACAGGTATCGACACCTACTTTTTGACCCATCGTGTATATTATCTATTTACTGCAAAAATGCGCAAGAAAAAATGATGATGACGTGGGATAGATTTTTTCTTGAAATACAATACCTGATTATTAAATTAATTTGTTCCATATTTCAACTGTTTCTATATACAGGGTGTTTTCTAATTGGATGTCAATAACTAAGGGGGCGATGTTTGGGGCCATTTTAAAAAGAAAGCTTCATTTGAACATATGTCATAAAGGTCATAACTTCTGAGATAAAGGGTGGTTAAGTTTTAAATATAAAATATTGTTTTTTAATAAATGCTTTCCCTCGAATAAATAATATAAGTTATTGCCTTCTCCCACCATTCTTAACCTTTCTTTTAATTAGTGGAATTATTAAAAAAGGTGCAGATACTGGTTGAACTGTTTATGCCCTTTTAGCATCTAATATTGCTCATAGAGGCAGATCAGTTGACTTAGCCATTTATTTCTTCTATCATAGGAGCTACTAATTTTATTTCAACAATTATTAACATACGACTCCATAATATACCTATAGATCAAATCTCTCTTTTTTCTTGAGCTGTCGGTATTACTGCTCTTTTATTACTACTTTCGTTACCATTTCTAGCAGGAGCTATTACTATATTATTAACTGATCGAAATATTAATACTTCATTCTTTGACCCAGGTGGAGGAATAGACCCAATTTTATACCAACATTTATTCTGATTTTTTAGTAACTCACAAGTCTATATTCTAGATCTTCCAGGATTTGGAATAATTTCCTTTGGAACCTTAAGAATAATCTATCCTATAATGTATAATATAATGTTACTAATTCAATTTGGGACTTCTTTCAGCAATATTGGTTAATTTTCTTCTAAAACCCGGCAATAATTATGCCCATTTAGCCTTTCTAGCAATAAAAAGGACTCAATTGATTAATTTCCAACAATTCCAGACCAAACCTTTACCAAAAGTGTTTTTGATGATTCTACTGCATGTGGGTTTTTATCAGAAACGCTAACATAATGCTCAAATTTGTCAAAAAACCACTGACAAAAATTAACAAGCAAGGGCAAATCTACGGAAAAGTAATGCCCAGACTCGTTGATTATGATATGGGTACAATAAAATCGAGCAAAACTTTCCAAACCAAGATGTGCGACATATTCAGATTATTTCTAATTTTTGTAGTACTAAGTTTAGGATTTTCATCAATAGAATTTAGAACTGCTTCTTCAATTTCTAGAGTACTTACAGTCCGATAAGCCCTTCTTAAACAATTAATTGCCTTCACAGCACTTGTTTCTGCCAACCTTTTGAAATTGTTCCGCTATCTGGTATGACTCTATTAGGAAAGTGGTCTTGATATAATCGTCTAGCTTCAGGCGCATTGTCATCAGCCGAACCACACATAAAATGCATATCTGCCCACTCCTCATTAGTAAACTTCACCATTCTTTTTTAAATAACAATAACAAATATTTTAAACACCAAATTAATAAGACGCGAAGAGAATTTAAAAACTGATGTCAAACAACCGCGTTGACAACAGAATTAATTATTCTTACAGACAGAGAGTATTAGAATTATAAGAAATAATTATAAACATTTCAAAAATACACCTCAGAGTTTACATACTTCGTATTCGTACTTCGATTTTTGTGTTTTAATAAAACAGATAGACAATTACTTCAGTAAGAAATAATAATAATATTAATAATAATTTTCTGCATGAGGTCGTATTAATATTGTCATTATTATTAATTGATATTGTTATGACCATGCAGAGAACAGGTTTTTATTTTTTTGAGGGAAAACCGTACATCGGATTGAAAAAAATCAAGAAACTTATAAACATCTTTAGAAATGATTGGAGATTGTAAGAATGATTTTCGTAATCAGTGACATACCATCCATGCCTGCCAAGACAATAATAATAGTAATAATTTATTGCCCAAACGATTGAGTTTTGTTTACACGTTGATAGGGAACACACAGATCATTTTTATGTCTGGTATCTTACATGTGAAAGTCGGAATTCTTCATTTCTTTAATTTCATGGATATGCATTATGCACTGATAGATGAAAATTGAAGGGAGAGTTAGTATTTTCATTTTTTAAAATAGTACAGTGATCCTTACTTTGTGCACAATACAAAGTTCGAACAATCTTTTTTGGAATTTTAAAGATTGTATCTGCCTCTGAAGAATCACCCCACCACAAAATGCTACATGACATCACGTTAATGATTTTACTAAAATAAAACTTTATAAATAGACAGGTTAAATTCCGTACGCCCGCCACTGGTGTGTTTAAAAAAAAACTGGTACACTAAATAATGCCCCTTGATTTGTAGTAGATGTGTGAAAAATTTCATTAAAATATTACGTATATTAATAATAATATTACGTAATACAGATATTAAGACAATATTATTTATTTTTGATAACTTTACCACCCTGTCTCTGTTTTGTTTTTAAAATGGCCCCTTAATTAATTAAATTAGAAAACACCCTCCTTTCTAAGCCATTTGCTTGCTTTGTTGCAACATATTGTGGGCATAGAGTAAATAGAGAATTTTAAGTGAATAACAATCAACAGAATTGCAAAAATGTGAATAACCCCAAAACTCGGTAAAAGGCAAAGGCAAAAATTACACTTCAGACTCACAACACACCCCCTCGAACTTTATACACTTGCATGTGGTAAATACCTACATAAAATGGATTAATACATTACCACCTCAACCTCAAAATCATTCATAACCCGCAAAAAACAGATCGTACCTGGACGACGATCTCGTTAGAATTCCAAGCAAATATCATAAGCTGGGAAATGGTCAAGGCGATAAAGGCAGAGTTGAACATAATCCTCTCTCCCTAAAGCAGCTGACTCAAACTGACGACATATTGAATATCGATGGCTACTTACAGCTACTAACTGCACCAACTGCCCGGCAAACATTACCGATGTTAGAGTGTATTCCAACAGGATTATGTGCTTCATGTGACGGTTAAAATTCTCGAAAGACCTGAAAGGAGCATTCTAGATGTTACAGTTTAAGGCTCAAACTAATCCTAACTTAATCAGCTCTTGGTGTTTCTGGCAAACTAACTTCAAACCAACGTCTATCCCAACTCTGGCACTCGCGACGAAACCATCTGGAGAATACGCCTGGAATTCCTTAAAATAATACTGCAAGAGCTTTAATCTGAGCATCAAGGCGACGATCATGAAGTTGATGAATGCAGTGACGGTGCCGATGGTCAGGCACGACAATATTGTACGCACATGTTGCTCCAAAATAGCCATCGCATAGTGGCGACTTTCGTCATACGGATACCAAAAGTGAACCGCTATCAGCTTTTCCGTAGTGTAGTTCAGCTGTCTACCGGAAGCGAGTGAAGCAAGAATATTAGCATCGACTGAAACGACATCGCTCACAAGCCTCAACTTTCAGCTAGCGAAACTCGTTACCTGTTCCCACGGTGAAAAATGCGAGCAGTATGAAGGAACCGACCAACAATTTTACCAAGTTGTTGCAGTACGTTGAGTGCCAGCGGTAGATGCGTCTCACACTGGGGTCCTCTTGGATGGAAATTCGATAGTCTTCCTCCAAGGCTTGGGAAATGAGTCCCAACACATCACGCGACTGACACATTGCCAGCTTCACGGTGGTTATCACGACCACCATAGTCCTGGCGGTGGTGTCTATTGCTTTTTTGTTGGGTAAATTATAACGGCATCAAAGGGCGCATTTACACTCACCAGCTGGAACGTTTGTCTCAAATAAAAGAGGTACCTTTAACGCCATTAATAAGCCGGACGACACGCACGTCATTTGATAAATTGCGGAATAAGCAACGTACATGTTTCTGTGCACAAGAAAATTAGGAAAACTTAAGCGCCATATTCCGACAAACATCATAAAAAATCTCATGTACCGGAAAAAGTCGTTTCTTTTGGGCATGATGAGAGCGTATTATAATTGGCTGGAAACATGACGAAGCCTTTATATAGCGAGGTGCTTGACAAACATCATAAATACTGTAAATATATTAACAGGTAAGCGTGTCAGTAGTAGCGATATTTCGCCCAAATATTAAAAATAACGAAATAAGAAGAAAAAAAATGTGGCTTTTGTGGCCTTAAGATGTATTTTTTTAATATCGTCCACCAGTATTCTGTTGTACTCTCCCCAGCAAATTCCGCCACCCAAAAATTTTAAGTGTTTTATTTTTTATCCGATTTTCATGATTTGTTTTCAGTTAGTAAATCAATTAACTTTAATTGTTTTTGCCATTTTAGCCTCTCTTCGTTTGGATAAGTCTCATACGAGGTAAATCAGAACGTAGTTTTTTGTCATAGCTTCAAAACACCCACAACGGGATAATTTGGTTTGGAAACAGACTATCCTAGAAATTTAGAAAAAAGTGTTAAAGTAGAGAAAATTGCGTAAATTATTTTCGTCCTTATTTGGTTAAAAATAATTGCTATGTGGATTTTTAAAATCCTGCTCCTACTAAATTTTCTTTTATTAGGGATAGTTAGAGTAAGTATGGTTTTAAAGCTGACACAAATTAAAGTTATTTATGTTCTATCTCTAAAAGTAAAATATTTGGGTTGGGGGGGGGTGAACATTTTTAAATGAATATCCATAACCTAACCTAAAAACTTGGAGTGATTAAAGAGGGCTTTTCTAAAAAAAGAATAAATGCAACCACATGATTTATTTTATGTCATTACATTGTCTAACATGGGTCGAACAGCTTAGTGAACTTAACACTCAAAAAAAAGTATAATTTTGGTTAGTTATCGTTGATTTACCAAATGAAACGGTAATTTAATTTTTAGTAGGGGAAGCCAGAGCAAAATGGATATGTGAAGAGAATAGAAAAAGCGAAATTTTTTGCGTTGCAGGTTCTCTCTTGTTTTGATGATTATCTAAGGGGTGTTTTTTTTTTCGATGTATAGAACTTTAAGTTGCAATAAAACAACGATGGATGATTCGATTGACATGAATTTTGTTTATCCGAAAGATAATCTTGTTGTGTTACATTTGAAATATGTAGTCCAATCCGGACGTTCAATTTTCGATGACTTTTTCCAACATTCGTGGCCGTATATCGGCAATAACATGGCGAATGTTGTCTTCCAAATGGTCAAGCGTTTGTGGTTTACCGCAGAGACCAATGACTTTACATAGCCCACAGAAAGTAGTCTAGCGGTGTTAAATCACAAGATTTTGGAGGCCAATTCACAGGTCCAAAACGTGAAATTAGGCGGTCACCAAACGTGTCTTTCAATAAATCGATTGTGGCACGAGCTGTGTGACATGTTGCGCCGTATTGTTGAAACCACATCTCCTGGACATCATGATTATTCAATTCAGGAATGAAAGAGTTAGTAATCACAGCTCTATACCGATCACTATTGACTGTAACGTTCTGGCCATCATCGTTTTTGAAGAAGTACCGACCAATGATTCCACCAGCCCATAAAGCGCACCAAACAGTCAGTTTTTCTGGATGTAACGGTATTTCGACATACACTTGAGGATTAGCTTCGCTCCAAATGCGGCAGTTTTGTTTATTGATGTAGCATTTCAACCAGAAGTGCGCTTCATCGCTAAACAAAATTCGCTTATGAAAATCGGGAGCAACGGCAATCTCGTTTTGGGCCCATCTGCAAGCGTTGTTCAGGCGTGAGCCTATTCATGATGAATTGCCAAACCAAACTGAGAATAAATCACTTGACGGCTGCTAAATCGGTAGCCATCTTGAACAGTAATGCCAACTTAAAGTTCTGTACATCGAAAAAAAACACCCATTTTATAAAGAAAACATTTTTAGTCATATATTAACCCTGGTAAGACTTGACGGTATTCAAATTTTTTATTTTGAAAGTTCCCACACCTCCCGCAACCTTAAACGAAGAATAGTTGCCCATTCTGATGGAGCCGTAACGCATCTTCTGGCATATACGTAGAGACAGTTAACAAGAACGTGAAGTGTTATTTTAACAATATTTTTTGAACATCTTTTATTTATAAAGTGAAAAAATAAAAAAGCAATATTTTATTTTTCTTTTGGCCTCCACAATTGTCACAAAAAAATTTAGTGTTTTTGACGGTACCATTTGTGTCTGTTTCTTTTAAGTAATAAAAAAGGTTTAGACATATTTCGTTGGATCCACGCTTTCCATTTTTTTATTCTCATAAATAGCATATTCCCTTTTCGATAAAGGTGTCATAAACAATGCAGTTGTATACATCGTATTTTCTAAAAAAAACCGCCAGCATGCTGTCTGAATGGGGCGAAGTTCAAAAGTGACTATAAGTTTCTCCGGATTATGCCCTGCGACTTTCTGTTTATTAAAAGATATTTGTTTAATTGGTTCTTTTGCTTGCTTGGTATTATTATTAAAAGACTCTCATATTTCGCACTTGTCTTTAGGGGCGACATTGTTTTAAATTTATTTGAAAACGATGTCTTTTTTAAAGGGCGAACCTTAGCATCATTCGTTTTTGTTTCATACACCCTATAAAGATTATTAAATAATTTAAGGTCTGATGGTAGATATTCTTATTTATATCTCTTCATTTGCGCTCCTATAGCTTTGTTTTCTGAAGGATGGTCGCCCCTTCTGTCTATTCCATCAGGAAATGGTTCACGAACCTTATTGTTAATTACTGTTCGAAGGCACCCTTGGGAAATATAGGGTATTGTCTGTTTACAGATATAAGAAAGTGACCAATACTTTTGAACGGATTATCCAAGGTGGTCATTAACATAGAATGCAACAAGATTATTATTTTTAATTAAGGTAATTATTAATTAATTAATTATTAATAATAATCTTGTTCCATTGTGTGTTAATGACCACCCTTGGATAATCCGTTCAAAAGCAATTGGTCACTTTCTTACATCTATGAACAGACCATACATAGCTTCCTCTCCTTTGAACTTCGACATGATGAATGCATTCATTTGAGAAAAACTTTCAAAATAGGCATTTCTTTCTTCTTCAGAAATGGTTATACATCTATTGTAACAAGCAAAGATTTGGCTTAATTTTATAATTATTTAATCTTTATAAGCCTTTCCACTGTGCTTATTCTTTCTATTATTGATTTTCTTTTTTTCTTTACATTTTTTGACTCGAATATTTTCTTCGCTTTCTGTTAGAGCCCCTGATGAATTTATTGAGATATAAGATTCGGAGTAGGTTGATAAATTATTGATATCTTCATGAGAAATATCACCTCAACGGGGAAATTGGGTTGGCAACCAGTGTGCCGTTTTCGGAATTTGGAAAAAAATTATACGTCTCGTTTTAGGAGTTATGTATATTACTTAAAATGTGACGCTAAAAATTCCTTTTTACAAGGACAGTCCTTTTTAGCATAATCGCTTGCATACTACTCAGTTTGATTTAGAGAAGGAATTTAATTTGGAAAATTTGGCAATCCTTCAATAATTATATCGTGATTCAACACTTCATCAAGAGGATACCGATTGGTCTTTTAAAAATGAAAGTATCCTAAGAACTCTGGAACCCATCGTTCAGACATAGGCATCAAATTTTACTGATAAAACGGATTCTAAAAACATAGTTTTATTGGAGAAAAATAGGTAGCACGATAAAATAAATTATTTAAATGAGGTTTCAAATTTACAATGTAAACTATCGCTTATGTCTGCACGGAAATTAAAATTTTTAATTTGGCATAAGCGACACAAAGTTAAACTTAATTTTTATAATCACTAAGGTTTTTATTTAAAAGAATGATCAACAAACTGGTTTATAAGTTACTTTTTGTCTATCTTGACTTTTTGCGTTTTGATTTCCTTACTCGTTGCTAGATATTTAATATTATCAGTTATTTTTTCAATAAATAAATTGATTCAATCACTATAATTCGGTCACTAATCAAGTGTTGGAAACTTAGTTAAGTAGCAAAATGTGGATGTAATGTAATCAATTTATTTTCAAAATTGTCATTACCAAATATTTTGTTTTTATTTGACAAAACGATATATATATGAATCTTTAATGTTTGTTGTTATTTCATGTTTGTTCAAGTCGATTGCCTTTCGTTTTAAACAACTTAAATTTAAATATTAATTGCATTAAAAATGTCTTATTTAAAATTACCAACTAAAATGCCAATTTATATTTTAGAATTACTTTTATTACAATACCTTCGTTTTGATATATTTGGCGGTTTTCAAATATTTAGTATTATCTGAATGCAATTTTATTAATTACTGACATATTTAAGTAATGAAATGTAGGAATGCCATTTAAGAAATACAATAATACATCCCCTGCGACAGAAATAATTATTTATTTGATAAAACTCTACGTCTCTGTTTGATGTATGTGAAAAGTCTCTCGATTTCAATCGTAGGCAACTTACTCCACTTAACATTTATTTGAATTTCCGAATTCTCTTAGAGATAGAGTAAAGAACAATAAACAAAAAATATTTTAATTTGTCTTGGCTTTGAAACGCTACTTCACTCTAACTAAAGCTAACTTTTTTTTTAATTAGATATAATAAATAAATAAGTAAAAATCCATTATTACTAGCGCGCTTCAAATTTTAAAAATATGCATATGCAATAACTTTTTTATTTTAGGAACATCGACACATTTTTTAAGCAACCAGCACTTCTGAGACATTTAAGGATTGTCTAATATTGTTTTGTTTTATGTATATACGCAATTATTAGACACCTGAAGTAATTTTCTAAAAAAAAATCTTTCCATATAGTAGATATACAGGAAATCCCTGTGAACCCTAGTAGGTATGGCAGAGACCAGAAAATCTGATAATAGGCTCTTTACTGAGATAGAACGTCCACACGATGTATAATACGAAAGCTAAGCATAAACAATGTGCGCGCAAAACACAATAGCCGCACAGACAATGGGTTTTGGATGTATTGTTTCGATTTGTACTGAAAGCTTCTGAATAGTCATATTTTTATTAAGTAATTAACTAATTAAGCAACTTTCACAACGGGGTACTTACTTTAACGAAATTTGAACACTCCGATTGTGTACATTAATTTAATTGTATTTTTTTTATTAGACCTCATATTAAATTCACGGTAAATTAAAGCCGATTGGATCGATATTTTAATTATATTGTCAAATTACACGGTGCCTATATGAAATTATTCATTTAAATAGCATTTATCTATTCAATTGCTAACCCATTATTAGGATACATGCAGCCTATTAATGTCGCAGGACTTATTAATAATTCTCGCCCCTTTCTAGCTAATTAATTTTTTCTTTTAACATTCACCAGCGCGCAGGTAAGTATTTTCCGAGAAGTAAGTAAACAAAGGAAAATTGATCGAGATAAAAATACGTTTATAAGAGATCACATCAAAAATTATCACTTAAATGTAACGTCACGTGACGGCAAACACGTTAACGAATTTGGCTCTTATGGTCCGTGTCGTATATTCATTCCGTGACATTGGCTCCGGAGATAACCAAACAATTTCGATTGTCATTGCTTTTAAATAATTGTAGATTCCAAATCATTCCCGGTCAACATTTCTGTGATTTAGTCCCCCTCCTAGTCTTAAAAAGTAATTTCAAACAATGAGTTTTCTTAATGTAATTTTGTGTTTTTCTTTGTCGGTCTTTACAATTTTGGCTCATGAAAGCGACGTGTTCACTGTAAAATATACCGTAGACAATTTTTCCGAAGAACTTCCAAAGAAACACCATTTTGTAATGTTTTATGCACCTTGGTAAGATAAAAATTGTGGAGTTTGCTATTAAGTATGATTATGATTGTTGTAATATCCCCCTTTCTTTGTCCACAAAGAAATGTGAAACAAAGAATGAAACAAAGGATAAAAGCCACAATGAATAATATGTTAGAAATGCGTCTTAACTTGGACTTATTTTAAGGTGCGGGCACTGTTCAAGATTGGCACCCACATGGGAGCAACTGGCAGAAATGCTCAACGAAGATGACAGTAATATCCGCATAGCAAAGGTTGATTGCACTAGTGACTCAAAAATATGCTCAGAGCAGGACGTAACAGGTTATCCCACACTGAAATTCTTCAAAGTTGGTGATAATGAAGGGGTCAAATTTAGGGGCACCAGAGATATGCCTACTTTGACAAATTTTATTAATGAACAACTCAGACAGGTAAGTAGGTCAGCTAAACTTGTCTTTTAATCTGTCAGTTAATTTTTTTGGTTTGTCTGGACGCTCTTTAAGATTTGTATTACTACAATTGCAGGGGGATGAAATTGATGGAACTGTAAACATAGTTCATGAAAGTCCATTAAAAGAGCTAACTGGAGAAAACTTTGATTCCCTTACGGAGAAGGGAAAACATTTTGTGAAATTTTATGCTCCGTGGTGTGGTCATTGTCAGGTAATTACCTTAGAAGTTACACAATAATTGTTCATAATTATTAACATTTCAGAAATTGGCACCTGTGTGGGAGGATTTGGCTAAAGCTATGGAGTTCAATGAAGAAATCAACATTGCAAAGATTGATTGCACCATTCATAGGCAGGTGTGCAATAATTTTGACGTTCGTGGATACCCAACACTTTTGTGGATAGAAGACGGCAAGAAAGTATGTTAGTTTTTCAGTAATCACCAAATTCCTTAAAAAATAATTATATGTGGATAGATTGATAAATTCCAAGGCGAAAGGACACTGGAAAACCTCAAAAATTATGTTAACAAAATGGCGGGGACGGTGCCGGAGAAAAAAGAGGAGCCGCCAAAGGAAAACATTGAACAAGAAGAAGTTTCGATTTTGGAGTTAAATGCCGACAATTTTGGTGAGGGCGTCAAGTCTGGCCTGACTTTTGTGGAGTTTTTCTCGCCATGGTGCGGACACTGCAAGAGGCTGGCGCCGACTTGGGAAAATTTGGGTAAAAAGTTCCATAAGTATGGTGGCGTTACCATCGCCAAAGTGGACTGCACTGCGGATGGCAATAGGGAATTTTGCAACCAACAAGAGGTAACTTGCTGTAGTACTTGGCAAAAATTGTTTTTTTTATTCTGTCCACTTTTTAAAATTTCTCAACAAGGGGAAGATTGAAAGAAACTCTTAACATTGTGGCCTCAAGCAATTTGACATATTTTTTTCCAGAAACCATCGTATGTTATCTAATGGAATTTATGAAGTGAGCAAAAATTTACTTATTCCCAATTTTTGAAAAAATACGGTCCCTTAAATGTAAAATTATAAATAACCATTATGAGCTAAACCTTAAAAAGTCCTAAGGAGAGTTAAAGCCTTAAAGATATCAAATGATCAAATTCAAAAAATGGTGTATTATAAAAAAGTTTGATTATTGTGCAAAATTTCCATATTAAGGATAATAATTTCACCTAAGATAGAAAAGTTTCTATGGACAATGTTAAATATGAAAGTTTATTTACGGATTAATCAGGTTTAAAAAGTTACCAAAACAAAATTGCGACAAAAGCAACAGTTTTTCGAAAATCGAATAAATGGTTACAGAAAGGAACAATAGAAAAACCTGATTGGCAAATCACTACCCAAAATTTTGATACCAGATTTCAAATATTTTAGATATTTCTAAATAACCACGGATTTCACCAATTTTGAAAAATAATTTATTTGTGTGTAAAATTTTGTAATATTAATGTAAAAAAAAAAATTCAAAAAGTATTGTCAACGCCAGTGTAAAATTAATAAAAATAAAAATAAATATTTTTTCATAGAAAAGCGCATGTTTAGTACATTCAGGTGGAAATTTTGACAACTATTAATATAGGTTAATGAAAAAATATTAGATTTTTTTTTTAAACCAAAACCATTTATTTTTTATAAGCTTATGTTATGGGCCCTATATCTTATAATCTTAAATGAGCTAAAGAAAATAAAGTGAAAGTAAAATTTATATTTTTTATAGTTTTGTTTCAATGCCCTGAAAATAATACTTGATTGTTAATTTTGAACCATTATGTTAATATTACAGAATTTTTCCGTGCTGTAAAGGCCCCAAATTCACTAGAACAGCTGTTCCTTGTAAAAAAAAAAACACTCTCAGTCAGCCAAGAAATAGAGATAAAGATGTATGGCCTTTCTAGCTTCTCACGCTACTTCATGCTCTCTTCATTTTGTGTTTACTTTAATTCTAGTTCAGCAATTGCCCCATTAAAAAATGTATTCAATATTTTACTAAATCAAAATTAAAGATTAAAAATCAAATATTTAATAGAATATAACAATATAAAGTAGACTATTTTCAGTTGATAGTATTTAAGTAATAAATGGCGTTTTACTAAAATGTAACAGGTTAATCACTGTTTTGGTTAGTTAAAAAAAAAGTTAAAAAGTTAAAAAAAATCATCATCCTGAACAGGTAATAACTGCATGACCAGACATATATCTGTTTCAAATTTTGACAATGAGCAATTAACTATAGTTGATTTTTTGGAAATTGCACGTTAAATGTTTTCTAGAGGTCAAAATATTAGTTTATTTTTTTTAAGCCGGTATATTTAGTTTATAAACTTTTCTAAGAAATGTAGGCTGAATCTTCTCTTGTCTCTCTTTATGTACTGTGTGTTTCATTGGTTACTATGAAAGAAATAGGATTTCGATTTTTGCAATACTAGCTACTTAGGGCACATAGTGAAGCAGAAAATTTGGCCAATTCATGTTTTCTAAAGTATAATTTTTAAAATTCAATCGAAAGTGATGTTTTTATGGAACACCCTGTCTATTTTTTAAACGTTGATTGCTCTATTAAAAAATTGTTTAAATATATTTTTTCTATCCTAAATTTATTCCACTTAACAATATAATTGTTATTATTATCAGAAAATAGATACTACAATAATATAAAAAATTAACATCATTAAAAGAACTGAAGTAGCCTATTACAAAGTTGGGTATGTCTTTTATTGTAAAGCAATATGAAGTATGAGGTATAAACTACGACTACGAGCTTAAAAATAAACACCATTGGCTCTTATCTCAAAATTTACACCTTATAAAAAATGTCACTGAATTCTGAATTCTACATTCTAGACCAATTGTCCTCATCAATGCCAAAGAATTCGTAAAAATTGTGTTTTTTTTTGTTTTTATTCATTTTTTGTTTGTGTAAGTTAATATTAACTTGACTTTAATCCTATCTTAAAAATTATATTTTTCCAAAAATTAATATTCCGTTTTCATTACCTTAATTTGATATGATGATGACAATATGATGAAAATGCAAATGGTAACTTAAATATAGTTAAATTTTCTGTATATTAATGTAAAATCAGTGCTACCTCTTTTGCTTGTGTCAAAATACATTTTAGATTGAAGGCTTTCCATCGCTTTTCCTGTACAAAGACGGAGAGAAAATTTCAGAATACAGTGGGAGCAGATCTTTGGAGGACTTATTTGATTTCGTTAATCAGCACCTCGTTCACGACGAGCTGTGAATGGCACGCTGGTTTTTGGTGTGTACATGTTAAATAGCGAACTTAATTTTTGTGATATAAGGTACTAGTGCATTAATCTCATGATATTAGACGCGACGTGACATGTAAATCCAGTACAATATTCCTTCCAGTTCGATTTCCATTACCTTCCGATTTTCTAGAAGTTTCACTTTGGGTGAAACACATTTGTTTCCATTTGTTTTCAGAGTTTCTTTGTTATTTTTCTATATTTGATTAAAACTTGACGAATTAAATGTCTAGCAAAAGTGTCACTTAATTTTTGTTGTGTCAGAACCCTGAAAACAACCAAATGTCTAACCCAATCACCAACTAAGTCGAGTGAGGAGTGCTAGGGTAACCGCGTAAGGTGGGAGAAAATAATTCGGGAGTGGGGCGTGTGAAATTATAACCTTACAATATTAACGTTTTCATAATTGTCTTATAAATAGTTCAATTATAGAGACTTGACACACTTTTAAAGATAATTCAAATCTCATGAGTGTTGTTTGCAGCACTGTTAATTAAATATCTATTATTCTAGCACTCAAAAAAGAGAAGTTATGTTACTAATTGCGACCCTCTTGGCTCGATTTTTGCGATGCACCGAATGAACCGAATTGCATCAAATTAGAATTTGTTCCAATTTCAGGCAAATAGTTTTAGCGACTTGATAATTTTTAGGCGATTTTGAAATTGGAACGTAATTCAATTTAGAGTATTTTACAAAAAACTTGATGAGAAGCACGAAAAAAAAAAGTCACGTGATCCATATATTCACAGATCAAAAAATTTCGACCAAACAGCTTAGGTTGGTTTGTTAGTCTACTTAATTTTTGTGATATAAGATGCTAGTGCATTAATCCCATGATATCCTGTAGAATACTCCGTCCTTTTCAATTTCGATAACCTTCCGATTTTCTAGGAGTTTTATTTTGGATGAAACCCATTGTTTGTCATTTGTCTTCAGAGTCCCCTTATTGTTTTTGTGTATTTCATTACAATTTGGCTAATTAAATATCTAGCAAAAGTTTCACAATTTTATTTGTGCCACAAACCCTTAAAATAATAAATCAAATCTGACCACTAACCAGACATCCAACTTTTTATCAACGAGCTGGTGGAATGTTGTCCAAATATGCATAGTTGCTATAGTAACAACTTAAGGTGGGAGAAAGTAACTTCGAATCATTGCCGTGCAACATAAAGTCACAATATTAAAATTTTCGTTATTGTATTATATATAGTTAATTTATGCAAACTTGACACACTTTTAAAGATAGTTCAAACCATATCCGGTTCTTTGGAGACATGGAGGCATTTTTGAGGTACTTTGGAGGCATATTTGCTACTACTTCAAAAGAATGCCGCCTCCTTTGATTACCAATCTAGAAATTTGAGTCCGATTTTGACAAGAAATGTTAAATGGCCTTGAACTTTCATCAAATTAGAACATGTTCTAATTTCTGGCGAGAGATGTTGGTAATTTTTTTTTTGTAATTTTCTTTGTTGCCAACTCAAAATTTACATTGGTAGCATTTGGTTAGTTGGTAGCATTGAAATAAAACTCAATTTAGAGCATTTTTACAAAACACTTGAAGCGAAGCACCAAAAATAAAAATGACTTAACCTTGCGCTCACAGGTGAACTAACCAAAAGGTTTTTCATCTTCTCCAAGCGCAACTAGCGAACCATTTAGATTTACCACACACATCGTAATTAACGAACAATCTAGAGGAAAATTGGAACAAAAAAAAAATTAAAGGGTTATGTAAAAGTTATGTTATTATTCTGTCGGTAATATCTAGTAAATTGCGAGGTTGGACACTACAAACTCGTTTAATTTTAAGTTAAGTTAATTTTGTCGAATTTTATTTGGATGTCGCAAGTCGCAGCGGCTAATTGCAGCAACTTCTACCAAAGAAAATCGCCAAAAGAATATTCTGAAACATTCTCCACCCATACACTTATTATATTTTAGTTATATCTGAAATGAAGACAACATCGTTCTAATATTTTATTAAACCAGTTAGTAATGTACAAATTTTACAAAAAAATGCCTAGTTACACAATCTATATTTAAGTTTCACCTTTAAGTACTCGTAAATACTTGATCAGTAGCGTATCTTCCAAGGACAATCGATTAAAACTCCGTATATACATTTCTATCGGGATACCTTAAGCTGAAAATTATATTCCCTTTAAAATTGTACATCTGCTTCCATCTATCGACTAGCAACGCAACTACACGTTTCTCGAATTGATGGTTATAGTTACTGTCTTTACCTACCAAATTTATTCGTAGTGTTGAAGTTTTGAACAACTAAAAACTGCAAACTTGAAAGTGTTTGTTTGTACAAAAAAATATCTAATGTTTTTTTAAAACTCCTTCACTAAGAGATAAAGAATACGCCCTCTTTTGCTTGATTTATTCGGATTTGGGTAAATTTCATTTATGTTGCACGAAGATTGATTTAGGAGGAAAATGGTTTACAAATTTACTACAAAAGTTTACATTTATTTCTTCCTATCGCAATAACAATTTGTTCACTAAGATTATAAATGTAATTCACAGTACAATTTTGAGTTTCAACTTTTAAATAAGCGTGCCACTCCACCAGTAAATGATATTTTTGAAATTCCATTTCAGTGAATTGATTAAAGAAATGTTCGATGACTTTCGAAATACTCGTCACATTCTAAACTTTTATTTTCACCCTGTATATGCCAATATTGTGATATCCGTTACATGGAAAAACTTTTATGCCAAATAGAGAGAAGCCTTTTCAATTAATGTATCCACTTTGCGATCCTGGCTGGTTAGAGTTGCTTTTAGTTTTGGTTAGTTAAAGTTAGTTAAACGTTAAAGCGAGCCTTCGTTGACATTTAAAACCGTCCACTCTGTACATTTTATTGTAAGTTTTAAAAATTTATGTGACAATTTTCAATGCGTTTTGCTTATATTGCTTATATCTATCTCTATTTGTTTCGATATGGTGGTGTCAGACATTCAGATTTTCACAATGGTCATTGTTAACGCTAGGAGTTTGAAATATTTATGACAGTGTGTTGATTCTACGTATTTTGTTTTCCTTAGTTTTATTGGAGATTAACGTCCCATAAAAAAATCGCTGTACCTATTCTCAAGAAGTGTAGTACAGTCCTCGACTTCGCTTCCTAGTATTTTAAGTCGTTTTCGCCCTATTGTCACGTGGATAGATGGAAACTAATAGAAGTTTCCTCCCTTTATAAATGCTGTTCTTATTATATGGAGGGGCCTCCCTGAATGGACTCCTGCTAGCTTTTGTTGTGTTATGCAACTGAGGCCAGCGAACTCAATCTAATATCGATTTTGTGTAGAGTGAGACAGGTAGGAATGGCAGACAGGTGTCATAAGATAATTTTTTATATCGTTTCTCAATTTCCCTTTCTGATTGAGGTTTTTGGGAGTAAAACGTTTCTTCCAGGGTACTTTTTGAAATCACTTTACGCGTTATCCTGCTTTCAACTAGGGACCACTAAAAGTGGTTGTGATATATCTGGACTATTTTTGACGGCGACAATCTTGCTAATAATAATAATGAAATTATTTAATTTAATTCATTTTTCAAAGTGCAAAATTATTGTGTTGCATATAGCTGCGGTAATGTCTATATCGGTCAAAAGAAAAAAACGTACTTTTTTTCTTGTTGATTTTTAACGGTTTTTCAAAATTTTGGTTTTAGAAATGGCAGTTTTCAAAGCGCTGCATCAAGACGTTTAATTATATAAATTAATTATATAGGGTATATGTGTATATTATAGACATTGATTGATTGATTGATATTTTTAACTTATTGATTCAGAAATTTCAAAATTTTTGCGTTTTCAAGAAATAAAAAATATTATTTAAGTATTTATGTGTGTATTTTAATTTTTTTTGAGATAATGTCCACGACAATACATTTGCTTTTTTTTTATCACAATTTCTTGTAAATCGTTGAATCTTAAGTATATCAGTTAGGTTGTTATATATTTTTTTAATAGAAATACAAATAATTCGTGAGAATATATCGACCAATAAAGTAATCAAGCAACTAGATCACTCGATTCTCATTTTTATATAACTTTTATTTATTCATTTATTTTTTATTTATTTTATATAACATTGCTTCATTTTTTATTATACATTTAGTTTCACTTATCTATACCGCCGGTGCCACTTCAGTTTAGATTGAGTTCACTGGCTCTCGGCATTTGTTCACAGACAGAACTCTCCTTCGTTAATTATAAGGAATTACCCAGAAGTGAGGACTGTCTGAAGATGTTTTAAAAGGAGAATTACCATTGAACTCTTCACTGCCTAGCTCACATTCTAATAAACTTTTTATTAACTATTTGCATGTAGTTTAATCCTATTTACATATTTTCTGGATTCCTCCTCTGTCGGTTATTTTGCTGACGTTTCGCCTATATTGCTTGAGGAACGAAGCTAAAGGAGACCTAAAGACCTGAGCTGCGGTTATGATTGTTTGATTGCTTATACATTTCTACGGATTCTCGGATTTTTCTTTGGTAGAAGAAATGATAACAAGCAATAATTTTAGTTTTATCGAATAACATTTGATGTCCGGTTTCACGATTGTGTTCGGCAACTGCTGGTGAGTTTGTTTGTCGTACTTTTAAGGCTCTTTCATACTCTTTGCCGCATATGCATGGAATGCTGTAAACTCCTTATATCTCAAACGGAATTTCGTCTTTCATCGATCGCAGATGTTTTAACATTAGATATATTTCTTAAGACCTTTTGACAGTGTTTGGTGGTTGAGAAAAGTTTGATGGTTTCACAAGTCACGCGAGTTTCTCAAATTTTTGAATGTGATTCTAGATAGAAGGTAAATGAAGATGTTCATGTCATAAATCGTATTTGAAACTTTATCGAACTCGGATGGGAAGCAATTTCAAGATGTAGAGACAAAAGAGTCTTATTGACTTAGTCTATTTCTTTAAAGGTATGATGAATGCTTTCTCTAAGAAAAACAAAATCAGATTTACTAAGAATTTTATAAGCAGAAGAGGTTTTGACAAGATGGGGTGTTTTAAGAAAATTAGGGATAACGTTATGGTGTCTACAACGTAACAAGAAGTCATTGTACAGAGTAATCTTATCAGTTTCAGTAGGTGCTTTTCAAACTTTTAGCTTTTGCGCTTGATGTCTTCTATACAAAGGCTTGTTAGATGATATTTTTGTTATTTGGCTTCATGTGCAAGAATCCGAGATTCTTTTAGCCATTTAAACTATGTACACCGGTTTACCATTGAATTACAACCTAATAATAACCTCCCATTTTTAAATATTCTTATCAATAGAAGATGAGGCCTAACATTGGGTCATTCTACAGAAAATCCACGCGCACAGACCTTAATGCATTGTCTGGCATCCGGCCCAAAATCATCGGTTATCAACTCTCTTGTTTACAGAGCAGTAAAACTCTCTCAACTCGGTATCACTTTAATTCGTTCCATCATAAAATACAGTTCAGCACCACCTACCAAAGACAATGAGTCAGACAGAAATCCCACACTTGCTACTGTTGTCGATCCTTATATTCCAAAATATCACTGACCAAATATCAAAATTTCTTAAGAAATAAGAACCATATTTACGACTTGTCCAAAAATATATAAACATCTTCGATCAGTACATAATCGGCAAATAATACGTCGGAGAGACATGACGAAAAATGTCAACCAGAATATGAAACAGCCTTAAGACTAGACAAATAAACTCATCAGCTATTGCCGAATACAATCACGAAACTGGACATAAAAGTTTTTTCGATAACACTAAAATTCTTGCATGCAATCAATTCTTCTACCAAAGAAAAATCCGAGAATCCATAGAACTCTATAAGCAACCCAAGCTCTTTACCTTTCACCAATGTTTATTCCGCTCCTTTAGCTCCGCCCCCTCAAACAATATACAGGGTTATTCACGGTGAGGGTCCTATTAGACATTTACAGAGAACAACTTACGGTGAAAACCTGAAATGGGGTCTTGCCAGATATACTCGTAACATATATCAACTTTGGTTTTTTTAACGGAACACCCGGTATACTATTAATTTTTTAGGGCCTGCGAATCAATCTGGAACTTTTTTACGTGCAGCCAAACGCTTGAATTTTTAGTTGCGGTTCCCTAATAAATTGCTTTATCATGATATTGTAGGAGAATTAACTTATCGCATACAGGGCGTTCATAAGATAATTCGCATTTCTTTATAAACAGTGTGGAAAATAATGATAACCCCAATCAAGAACTGCTGAATTTTTATAATAATAATAGGTTAAATGACAGAATGGATCACTTTGACTTTGTATTGTCCACGGAAGATGAGATTCTCAACATTAATATCATTAATACTTTTTTTACTGTCCATATATTGCCCCATACATTACGCATATAATAAATGAGTGTATCTTAAATTCGTACTTTCCGTCAACATGGAAGCGGGCACAAGTCATCCCCTTACCGAAAATAAACAATCCAAGCGAATTTAGTAACCTGCGGTCAATTAGCATATTGCCTGTTCTATCTAAAGTACTTGAAAGAATTATGAACGATTAAATGGTAAGCTTTTTAAATTCTAATCATATTCTACCAGAGAAACAGTCTGGTTTTAGACCTAATCACAGTTGTGAGAGTGCCATGCTGGACATTACTGATGACATTTTTAGAGCGACTGACGATGGAAAGATAATGGGTTTAATATTGTTGGATTTCAGTAAGGCATTTCATATGATAAATCATTCAATTCTTTTGGCCATTCTCCATTACGTTGGTTTCTCCGAAGGTGCTCGAAAAGTTTCTGTGTTCCTTTTTGTCAGGTCGGACAAAATGGGTTGTCTACAATCAGTAGCAGTCATCGTTCCTAGGTGTTCGCATGGGTGTTCCGCAGGGCAGCATTCTTGGTCCCTTATTGTACACTATTTTTACTTTTAACTTCATTGGTGCCCTCCACCAATGCAACTGTCATTTTTATGCGGATGACACTCAAATTTACTACTCATTTTTTCCTCAATAAAGAGCTACCGCGGAGGATGTCTTCAATACTTTTTTTAACATTGCAACAGATCACGTCCTAAAGCTTAACCCTAATAAATCTTCAGTAATACTCTTTGTAAATGATGATATAACATAACAATTAAACTTAATAACATAAAATTGCCACTCTCTGATTCATGCAAAAGCTTGCGGTTCAGAGAACATATTACTAATAAACTGAGGGTTGCCTATGCTAATTTAAAATTAATTTATGGCAATAGACATGTACTTTGTCAGGAAACTCGTAAGCTGCTGTGTGAATCACTTGTTCTGTCAAAATTTAATCACTGCAGTGCTGTGTACGGACCGTGCCTGGATGCGTCCGATCGAAGGTTCAAAACTCCTGTCTAAGGCTAATTTATGGGGTAAGGAGGAGAGATCATATCTCCCCGTATCTTGCTGCGTCGGGTTGGTTTAATATGCACCTTCGATGCAAATTACGAATGAGTTCTCTTTATTTCAACATTCTTAAAACAAAATTACCTTTTTATATTTACAGAAAAATTAACATATCAATACACAATTTGAATTTGCGTGGAAGACACCGACTAGTTATACCCCGTCACCGCAAAGAATTATTTAAAAGATCATATTCCTATAATATAGCCATTTGCATTAACTCTATTACTAATTTTAATATTAATCAGTCCAATTCAACGTTTAGGAATAATTTCAAAAAGCAGTTGTTACGTACGCACTAATATTAAGCTCTTCTACAAAACATGTGCCCCTTTCCTTTCCTTCCCCGTCCATTTCTTCTCTTTTCTTTTCTTTAGAATTATGTGTATCTACGCTTGGCGCTTTCAAATAAATTCTATGAAATTTTTTATTATTATATTTTCGCTGTTAAATTGAGGCCTGAACAGTATCTAGAACTTCTAGATGGCTGCCCTAGCAAGGCGTATTGTTGACCATTATTTCACTTTAGAATTATGTGTATCTACGCTTGGCGCTTTCAAATAAATTCTATGAAATTTTTTATTATTATATTTTCGCTGTTAAATTGAGGCCTGAACAGAATCTAGAACTTCTAGATGGCTGCCCTAGCAAGGCGTATTGTTGACCATTATTTCACTTATTTCACTTTGGTTATGTAATTATTTCTATGTAACTTTGATAGTTATAACAATAAATGTATTATTATTATTATTATTATTATTATTACTATTATTATTATAACTGGCAAGATATAAATACCATGTAATTGAGCCATCTAAAAGTACCAAACTATGGTACATCTATTTGCACTGGACCAAAACATTGAGATTAAAGCTGGGTAGCAGGCTGTTGCTGACCATGGTCTCGTTTTCTATAAAAAAATTGGTTCAAATGAGTAATTGTAACAGTGAAACTGGAAGGAAATACATATGCCAAGAAAAATTTAATATCCATAAAAACTGTTATACACAAAACCAATGTTAAAGACCCGTAAACGGTTTTAGTTGTTTTTAATTACATACAACTACTATTGCCTTTGAATTTTGGTTGAATTAAGTTCTTGAAAAGCCTGTCTGACACGGCGTTCCGAATCTTCTATTGTTACCACTGGAGTTTTATGCACTCTTTCTTTAATCGCACCCCAAAGGTAGGCATCAACCTCGCGAACGCGGTCACGAATTCCTTGGACCTAGATGCCTTATCCGGAGGTCTATCAAGTTGGTAAAATATCCAGATATTTTTCGTTGATCAAATTCGCGTCTTTATTTTTATTATCTGTCATCAAACAAAACACGTTGAAACTAAATGTATTTTGAAATCGCTTTTCTCGTATAAATTTTTGATTTTCTGATGACCAAAAATGATTATTCCGGCCGTGAAAATCCGACGTTGAAGAGATTGTACTAAAATTTAGTATCCGCTTAATGGGCCAATAAGATATGCCTAAATCATCTTTGGCGCTGGGAATGGACGCATATGGAAATGCGTGAAATTATTGTAAAACGTTGGTTTCATTTTCTTTTCAGTTTGTAACAGGTTTGGTTTCGAAAATTTGCTTCAATTCTATAAAACTTTTTCGCAAACATTGGTGGCAAATGCGGATATTGTTCATTAAATCTTCTGCACGTTCTTGAAATAATTCTTTGACATTCACCATAAATGTAAGATAAATTCGAAATATCTGCGCCTTGCTTTCTGAAATAAAGGCAACTTGTCAGTTATTTTTTTACAGGAAACAACATCATGGCCGACCAAAGCTACCCAGATGAAATGTGATTACTGTAATTCGCTTTAATTGCAATGTTTTGGTTTTTTTGCTTATATATGAATATATCATAGTTTGGTACTTTTAGATGGGAAACTAATTTGTCATTTAACTGCCAATATAAAATATGGGGTGTGGTTATATCTTGTCAATTATGCTAATTATCTTATGTACACACGATAAGTTAATTCTCCTACAATATTGTGATAAAGCAATTTATTAGGGAACCGCAACCAAAAATTCAAGCATGTGACTTCACGGGTTGCGAAAAAAATTGTTATTTTATAACGGGTTCCTTAAGAAGTATTTTTTATCTCCGAAAATGTTCAAGATAGGTATGGTACATGTTACATTAAAAAGATCCAGACTGTTTCGCAGAATCTAAAAATGTAATAATATTCGGGGGTGTTCCATTTAGAAAACGAAAGCTCATATGCGTTACGTGTATGTCTGGCAATACCGCATGGCCAAAATATATTTTACGTATTTAGCTCATATTTGCTTACATAACTAACAACAGTTCAGGTTTTTATCGTAATTCATTCTCCATAAACGTCTAATAGGACACTCACTGCAAATAAACCTGTATAAGCAGGTACAGAATAGAATTCAGAAGTTTTGTAAATACGAGCCCTAACAACTAATTGTTCGGATGATGTACGAAATAACAAGAAAACATCACGCATTTATTTTTATATAAAAAAGTGCTATCGTAATGAATTATTTCTTTGTTTCACATAAATTACATAACAAAATATCAAAAACATACCAAAAAAGTCTTCGGGGGTGAAAGTATTCCAAATTTCCGTGATTTTTGCCTTTAATGCTGGAACTGTATGCTGAGGATTGTTACGCAAAGTCTTTTTCATCCGATACCAAAAAGTTTCAATAATTCAATACTTGATGGCCACGATAAAACTTTCATATTATGGTCCCCAAACCACTTTTTTGTTGTTTTCGCAGTATGGCAGGACGCACAGTCTTGTTGAAATATAAAATTTTCATTTCCAAAAGTTCGTTCTATTGATGGAATCAAACTTCTTGATAAAAATTGTTGATATTTTTCTGCATTTACAATACCATCAATGAACTCGTAGTTGCCAACCCCTTTACCACTCATACACCCCCATATCATAACACCCTGGGGAAGTTGTACCGTACGCTTTAGACAGTCTTTGTGAAAGGCTTCTGATTTTATACGAATCACCCTTTTTCGAAAATCGCCTACATCACACATCAAATTTTGATTCGTCGCTGAAGATAACGTTACTCCAGGTTTCCGTTGTCCAGGATATTTTAGATTTTAACAAAAGTAGATCATAGAATATTAATAATTTTTATATTGAAACAGGAAAAATTGTAAACTTATCTTATAAAAACTCAAACTAGACTTATGCATCCATTGTCTACAACATTCCCGGGAGATAGTTTGCCTCGTGATTCCATTGGGCGTGAATTTGTCGTAAGACGCTTCTTCTGCTAGATTTACAAATCTTGACCAGAATACGACGATCTCTTTCAGTGATTTTACGGGGTCGGCCTGAACTTTTACCACTAACGCTAACACTAGCTGTCTCTCCATACTTTTTATAATATCCCTGACTGTTGATTTTGCAATACTCAAGTCATTTGAAATTTTTTGCATTGATTTACCTCTGCAGTACTGAGATATGATAATTTCTCACACTTTTTTGTTTGTTGCAACACCACGCGTCATTTTCTTATCAACTATTATACAAACTTGAAAGATACAACCCGAACTGACATCTCATTTATCTAAGCACACTACATTTTACCATCAAGGCATGGGTAGCATTGATTTCTTGGGCGCCCGCAAATTTATTTGTCAGCAAATTTGGTGTTTCCGTTATTTGGCTATGTAATTCATGCGAAATAAAAAATAATTCATTATGATAGCACTTTCTGTGCTATCGTAATGTGCGTAAATTGATTATTCAATCGACAAAGCAAAAAAAAAAATTAAATAGATATAAAAATGTCTTTTTTATCATTTTTTACATCGTCCGAACATTTAGTTGTTAGAGCTCGTAGTATTACAATAGCCTGTGCAAGTTTCCTTGAAAAATTATGTAATTGGATAGTTACAGTTGTCTTATATGTAATCTGATATCACGTTGACGAGACGTTCCGTCCTTTTTTTACAGCACCTTGATTACTTATTGTTTTCCTAAAACACGTTCTAGTAATCTCTAATCATATTTACGGGATCGGGTGAGAGATCGCATATTGTTTTCGTCATCAAATTTCACACCGAGAACAATAAAATTTCGGGGAGGCTTCCGCCCTGACGCGGTAAGTCCGCTTCCACTTGGCTGAATCATCTGACACGTCCAGAAGGAGACCGAAGGTGGGACCTAATGTAGCCAGTCCGATAGTCAACCACGTCCCGTTTGGTCATGTTCTTCAAACCGTTCCTACTGCGCCTGCTCCACCTAAAATTTAAGAAAACGTTTAAGCGCTAACCTCAGATTTGTGGTTGGTAATTCATCGACGTCTTTCGTGCAATTTTTGCACATTTCTCTAGAGCGTCGCGAATTGGAGCGTTTTAACAGGAAAAACCTATTTCTAAACTAGAAAGAGCAAAATCGACTTGCATGATGGAGGACCCAATAATGATTAAAACCGCATTTTCGCGTTTGAAAATTGTCCATAACTTTTTTATTTATGAAAATTTTGGATTCGATAAAATCATTTTTTATGGCAAATGCAGTGGCATACTTAGATTTTTTATTTTATATGGCAATCATATTGTCTTAAAAAATCCCTTTTCCGAATCATAGATTTGTTGGTGTCTGTGATGATAAAAGGCGGAAATATGGCGTATTTTTTGATTATGCATTAGTAGGCTGTCCATAAAGCTGTCAATGTCAGTTAAGGATATAATTTTTATTCTTCATTAAATTTTGTGTTCTGTCACACATAAATTTAGTAGCCCACCTTAAGATTTTAGTTTATTTAGCAATTTAAAATGTACCAAACTTATGAAAAGTATGATACGAACGTTATTTCAATACGCATCCAGAGCGGCACCAACCAAACAAGCGAAAAAATAATTTAACCAATTACGGAAGCTTAAAAGAACCAAAGCAAAATCAAAACCGCTTAAATGGTAATCCGCAAATAAAGTTTATTAAAAAAAATAAATAAAGTCTAGCGCAATGAATATAGTTTTAAAATATTTGGATTTATACAAGGCGCATCAAAAAAAGTACGGCCTGAAAAAGTATGTTTTTTTTTTAAGGAAATACCCTGTATGTATATAACGGTTAAATTTACCATTGTCATGACATTGAAAAATTAATATTTATGCGTTATGATTTAAGAAATGGCTATGGAATTTTGGTTAAACAAAGAATTTATTATAATGGTCCGGACTCTCTGATTTTCAAAATAAAAAATCTAACATTCTTTAAATGGCATACCCCCTATATTAATGTTTTGTCACCCACCATTTTTGTTACGTATGTGTAATGTATGCAATCTGGTTTATGACGTTTTATCTTCTGAAATGACGTCACGCTGGTTTCCAATAACGTATTTCTTATATTATTTACATTATAGCAATAATCTCGAACCTAAACGTATACAGTGATGGCAAGTTCTGTTCAAAATTTTCCGACACCGATCCAGTTTTAAAGGTGTTCTAAAACGCCACCACAATTGGTCCAAAAGGATTTTATAACTTTAAAAATTAAAATTTTCTTGCAAATAAGGTCACACAGCTACTAATATAAATTTTTTAATCTTTACTTTATTCCTTATTTGCAATATAATAAATTGACGCAAGTTACCAACTATTATCAAAATTATTTTAGTTCTCAATTAGAAACTGTTCTATATACGAGTTTGGACGGTAGTCCCGGGTCCATACTTTCTCCCCAATTGAAAATGACAGTTCCCCTTTCTTTTTGTGCTTAAGTTCTAGTTTGTTTTGTTTTTCTTGTACAATATTTTCGGTAGAACGTAGAATTAAATTAAACCTAGTGCATAAAAAGCGACCAGCGGTCGTAATGTGCGGTCTATTGCGGTATTGAAAAAGAAAAGTATCTAAAATAAGTTGTAAATCGGTCACTCCATCCGCATATCCTTTGCGTAACGCTCTTTTTGAAATTTTGACACCTGATTCGGCCAGTCCATTCGTTTCTCGATGATGTGGAGCACCCGCTTTGTGAATGATCCCCAAACTTGCCAAAAAATTTTGGAATTCCTCGGACATAAAATTTGATCGTTATCGGTGGAAACTTCTTTTTGGAGACCAAAACGGGCAAATAGAGCTCTAAACATTTTTATGGTTTGTGCAGAAGACATGTCTGAGACTATGAAACATTCTAGCGATTTTGAAGTGGCATCTTCAATTACTAAAAATGTTTTATTATTTATTTATGTTATTTATTTTGTTTATAACTCGCATATACAACACAAACAATCCTGAATATAACTTATTTTAAACAAAAATAAAAAACTACTCTCCTTCACTGTTTTAAGAACCAGAACTAAATTGCCTTCGTCGGTGCTAATTACAAGCGGCGCAATGTCTGAAGCATCACATATCCGTATTGCCTTTCAAGCTTCTTGGGTTGCCCTTTCTGTGTGGTTGACATAATTTTTCCAGTGCTCTGAAAATACTTACTTCATTTATCGTTTTTCCCAAACTGCCAAAACTTCCGATGGCATTCCATTGAGACTAGCAATATATTTTTTGTATTTCCTCTTACATTCAGACCATACCATTTCAATAGCATAAAACTGACAATGATATGAAATATCTCGAATTATATTTTTGATATCTCCTTCATATTCCTGGATACTAGTGATCCAAGAGCAGCTGCATAATCATGTTGTAGTTAAATATCCATCCGTTAGATTAAAGGGTAATAATATTAAAAGGTATTCATTTAACATTATCAAGCTTTTTTTCAAAAAAAAACAATGTAGCCATATGAAATAGGATGTGTGATGAATATCATTAGATAGTTTAAACTATGATAGTAAACACCCAGTATTACGAATGGCGAATATGGCTTGACCGAGCAAAACTATCACACTTTTTTAGGCCGTGAATATTTTAAAACTATAATCGTAGTTGGAAGGTAATGCCTGAAGATTTTTTGTTGGGTAAGGTGCTATGAGACCAACTGTCATCTTTCCTTTTACCCTCCTAGCAACTTTGTTTATTAACTGTTTCCAACGATAGTCAACAACAACATGATTTTAAATTTATATTTTAAAAATTAAATTATTTTAGGGCAATTTTGCATTGCGCCTGGTATATTACGTATACATTTTTTTGGATAAATACTAATACTATAGCCAAATTTAACACAAAGCAAAAAATATCTTCCCTTTCACCTCTGCCTGGTTGGGAGATGAGAGGCCTGCCTACCCCTGCCTTTACCGATTCATAAAAAACGTTCTTCCGTTTTTTTTGTTCTTAATACTCTTAATCGGTAAACCATAATTAGTGTGTGCTTTAGTTCCGATAGACTTTAGCAGTACTGTCTACCCAGTCATTAATCTAGTTCACAACTAATATCTCTGGTTCAAGGTAAGGCGCTACAGTTAATCAGTATTATTTAAAGATTTGAAAACTGAGCTATTAAAAAAATAATAATAAGAGTAATTGTTTTAATTTTTTTTATCGCTATAAATAAAGTTAAAATTAATAAGTTGTTTTATTATTAATATTAAGTATACTTTACGATGCATACTGTACTATTTTAATTGTCAAGGAGTTTGTTTCAGGAAACATGGCTTTGCAAAAATTTTGTTTTTTTCCATGTGGTGGTCACGCGATATATAATGATTGTCCTTTTGTGGGTCGTTAATATTTAAATAGGTTCGAATTAATACTTCGAACATGACAATTGAAGTGTGACACACACCTGTATATTTTGACCTTTACATTTTCAAATTGCCTTTGTAACGATCAATAGGGGTTGAGTGGAATTTCAATTGATGTTTATATAGGGTTTCCGAACACAAACGCTCGATCTTTGACAATGGAGAAATTTTAGAAAGCTGGGCGAAAGCGTCCATGAGAATCCATGAAAGCGAAGAATTATAGTCCAATAATAGTCATAGAGAGCGGCGTGCATTCGCTGATTGCGTGCTAGAACCGGCGATGGTTGATCTAAATCCACTGGACTTTTCTCTGGGTTTCCGGTAAATTTCTAACAGTTGGCGCTCTTGAAGCCAACAATATGTGCTAAATTGCTACATAGTATAAGTATGAAATTATATAATTTTTTTTTATGACCCAAAATCGATCGTTTTCTCTGGTGTTTCAAAAAATCGTTGACCTAATGTCCAGTTCAAAAAATTATCTTGTTAATTGGTTCGAAAATGACTCCTGTAGGGGGCCCCAAAAAGTCAGCTTTTAAAATTAATATCAAACGGTATAAGATGGCTAAGTATGAAATTTAAATTACCTTTAATTGGACCATAGAAGTTATTTATTGCTGATATAATTAAATTCCAAAATAATTCACAACGTTTTTGCTGCATAGCTGTTTTTGGTTTTTGAAACACAGTTCACAACATTTTCGGCATTTTATTTTTTTATCTAATGATTTATTAATTCTGTCAGCATTACTTGCTAAAACTTCCACTAGCTCCAACCACTTTACCTAATAGCAAGTAGTGTCGGAACAAAATTATCAAAATTTTCTTGACGACTTTTGCGACGATTTTTTTGAACCCCTTTAACGTAGAAGAACGTTTTTTGAAACACTGCGTAGATTTTAATTCAGGTGATTTAGCTGTGACGCCTGATCTTTGATAAAGACCGTAGACCTGAAAACCAGCCAGTATAATTTAATGAAAAATCTAAAAATTATAACCACTTTTTCTGCATTGAAATCGATTACTCTTTTTAACGCAGACAAAACAAATGGCTAAAAATTTTAGTGTCTTCAGATATACCGATTTACTTTAATTATTTGGCTATTATTTCATAGTTATCAAGCAATTTACAGCCTCCAAAACTAATTTTTCGATTACAATTACAATTGCTATATACAATGTACAAGTTCATATCGCAAAATACGCTATTAACCAATCAAAAGCAATCAGCAAATGGAACAATATTTATGATAGTTCGAGTTGTAAGACGTCAAAAATCGAAACGCATTGTTTGCGTCTTCAATGTTTGAAGTTTTGCTGATCGATCGACAAGCACACAAGCAAACAAAAATCAGCACCGAATTTCTTATCGCAACATAAAATCGAGCTGATTAAAATGCTACAAACATACAAGAGAACTCACTTTTCAATACTGGTAAACATACACTGACGGCTAGTGACGTGCCGGTGCCTCCCAGCTCCTTACTGGACGCACGTGGACCCTCTCGATTGGAGAAAGATGATCTTCGGGTGTGACGTGTGCGCACGCAACATAAACGTTCACAAACACATAGTAGAAAAGGAGACAGAAAGATAGTGAGAGATTACACGAATGGGTTGAATGACAAAATGGAAGCTGTTTATGAAAATAGCGGCGAATGTATTGTAGCTCGGATGGTTTGGCAGAAGCTAGACCGCGATTCTCAACCAGCTACGCCCACCAAGTGTAAATGACTACCCCTCTAGGGAATTTTCGTGCCGACCTCTAAATTTTCCCATCCAAACTTACACAGATCAACACAAATTCCGCTCATGAGGAAAACCATCAAAGAAGTTCAACTTGATACAGGTCACTGAAGACGTTATATGCAAATTACACTCGACATGCCATAGTAATTGTGGAGCCAACAAAAAATTACATTCCACACTCATTATAGGCTATTGCAACTTTCCAGGCATTTTTGTTAGTTTCTGTTTCTATTTTATAACTTTTTATACGAAAAGATGCATTTTCTATTAGATAATATTTGATACTGTGATAGTTTTGATTAAATTGTTTTCTCAAAAAACTCAACAATTTGTAGACTCTCGTTTAACAAGAGTGTCAAAACAACAAATTGTAAAATGATATTTTGTCAGAACTTGTATAGATAGATAGGTTAAGCTCTAATTCAATAATTATATACAATTCGCAGTGTCAAGTGTTTGAACCAAAGTGATAAGAATTCACGTAATTTATACTCCATAAATAATTTTGAAGTTTGTTGGAATGACTTCTATGCCTTCCATACATAAAAATATGAATGTCACTAATTGCTGCAAGAATGAAGGTAAACCTCTGTTTATATGAACTAATGATTTCAAATGATTTGATCAATTACATTATATATAATATCATTCTTCCTCCATATTTGCTTCTCGTCTTTGTAGTGACATTCTAGAGTCAGGATATCTTCTGATATTGATGAATTCCTTAACCTTCTCGGTAGTGGCTATGTTCAATCTTTAAAGCATCACATTTTTCCAGAAATAGACTCCTGAATCATAGTTCCAAGTTCGGCTGGTGCAAAAATCGAAATTCTTCAACCTTGGATCTGTTTTTAAACCAGGAAATTCTATCCTTGTTGGAAGAACCCTCTTGGTAGCAGCTGCATAGTCCATATCATTCTATCATTCAACCGTTTATTCTAATGAAATTGGTGGTGAGAACAACTCGTTTTGGTGTGGGATTATGCTCTTCATACCTAGATTCCGATATTTTTTGCTCTTCAAACGAATCAGTGGCTTGATCCTTTCTTCGGGTATTTATTAAATCAAGTTTTAGAAACCTTTCGTTCTTAATCCACATTTCCCAGAGCTGATGCTGACCGTGCGAATTGGAATTTTGTAAAAGAATTCGGTTTTAAATGGTTGAGAAACGTAATCCGCTATCGAATCTGGCGGTGATGTATGAAAGCATCGTGTGAACTAATTTAATCGCATGCGTCGGTGAAATATGGGTTAGAAAGTGTTGTGACCTACCTTTTCTTTTTTCAAAGAAACTGATATACGGAACAGTGGACAAAACAGTACCGGGGAATCGTTTATTAAGTAAAACATTTACAAAAAATAGGAACCAAATTAAACAAACGGTTCGAACATTATTGTCTTCTACGGGGTAGCATTATTAAAATATATTCATCTAATCTACTCCCGATTGGGTGACTAAACGGCGGGTACTACTTTTTAGCCGGCTACGTCCGACGGCAAATCCCGTTAGGAAAATGCCAACCGGATGCGTTTTTTAATCACCCAAAAGTATCTCCAGCGACTCTTTCTAGCGGATTTTGTACAGCATCAGTAACCCAACGCAGCCAACTACGCATACATACATAAGTTCACGTTTTTTGCCCCTATTTGGGGTTGGCATACTAAAAAAATCGAAAACACGTGTTACTATCGGTCTAAACTCTAGCCTAGAAGGTTTGGAAATGAATTCGCTACGTATCTACACCAAGTATGGATGACCTGAGTGTCTGGTGGTATGCGTATGTATATGAATTCCTTTAAGAGCGGTTTATAAAATTCCTAAACATCGACGGCATTATTTTTGTGATAAATTGCGACTCCTGCGAGTTATTTATATAGTTTCGTATTTGAGCATATTCAATGGCGATCAACTAAAACCAAACATGTAGAAGGCATACAGCACATACGAGGTAACGTAGACGCAAGTCTGGTATAATGAAAGAACCGAACTCAAGAGTTAGCGAGACCCTATTTTGTAGTGAAACTTTTAAAAAAAGGATGCCGCAATTTATTGTTTAATAGTCAAAACAAAAAGCGATGGCTAGAGTCCTTTGGGATTGTGGAAGAATTCTTTTCGTTGATGGGAGTGCATAAGATGTCAAACGTGTAATACTCACACTCAGCAACTGCTCCTAATTTGGAGTGTGTATATAAGAATTGAGATTTAGTCTCTCTACTCATCTATAGGTGGCAGCACAGTTGAGATTTTGCTTTATGTAGTATGAACTCATAGGTATACAGGATGTCTTAACGACTAAGAAACTCAGGCATGAAATTCTGTAACTTCCGAATTTTATTCAATAAATTATAATATTAATTACTAATTTTATTATCGCTTTCCAAAGAACTTTTCGGATATTGTTATTCGATGCAGGTAAAAATGGATGTAAGACTGCAGTGAAGACTCAAGTGAAATACCACCTTATCAATTCTTGAAAGGGGCTCGCAAATGTAGCACTTAATCTCCAGCAGCTGAAGAGGCAAAATACGTGACCATGTCTAAAGAGCCTATTGCGTTCAAATAATAGGTGGATGGACAAACTATGAAGCCGGAAATGGGGCTCAATTACCTTGTCACTGAAATAGTTTTAGGTGTGCGTAACACAAAACAACAGTAATATAATAATTTTGACCTACACATGAGGAATAAAAATGAAAAAATAACTAGATGGATTTCACTCCTATTAGATAGAGGAAGAAAAACCAGGATTTGGATAAAATGAAAGAAGAAACAGGCCTGAAACCCAGGTGCTTTCGAAGCGAAAAGGATTTCAACGGAAATGTATTGTAAATGGACGTGGCAAGAATGTGATTAAAAGCTAAGGCTATCTTTGAAATTTGGTAGACGGTAGACGACAAAGTGTTTCATTGGAGGAAACTTTTGCGAAGCACGATTGTGTTTGATTGTGCGAGTGTTACGTAGGCGAGTTAGTTTTCTGTATCCAAAGCGTACAGATATCGTAAGTATACAATTTACCATACCAGTTCTCAAGAAAAATACTCGGAACATACACACCTTTCCATGCAAATTAACCTATGGCACCAAGAATCGGACTTACCTCGCACTGTGCGTCAACATGATGATACTTCTGCAAATAAGAACATATTGTAGCGTATTTTGTAGGAGCACACAAAACTTAGCACTACAAAATTTAATTTTTTAATTTTTAAATTACTTGTAGAGGAAGCGGTAACTAAATAGCTTGGAACTGGTTCAAATGATATTTTAAAAATTTGGGTCATTGTCACTGTTTCAAAACTCAAATGGTATGGAGTTTAACACATTGTATTCAAATTAACTGATCAATGCCAAACAAAGCAATAATAAAGTAACAACAGCTCACTTGATTTTTTTTCTAGTAATTTTTTTTATCTTGTTAGGCATTAGATTATATTTCTTATTTGTTTCTAGTAAACTCGTCAACAAAAATTTAGTTTTTTCCATGTAAATGTAATTAAGAAGAATGATAAAGTGTGTTTTTATCATAGTAATACGAAATATTTTATGGTTCTATCTATTCTCTTGTGTAATGATTGGTTTTTGACCCAACGTTTACAAACTACCCCATATTCCAAACAAGAGATCACCCGCTTACATATTTCGCATTTGTCTTTTAACACTTTTTTCGATGTATAGAATTTTACGTTGGTATTCAAGTGTTCAAGATGGCGACCGATTTAACAGCTGTCAAGTGATTTATTCTCAGTTTGGTTTGGCAATTCATCATGAATAGACTCACGCCTGAACAACGCTTGCAAATAGTGCAATTTTATTTCGAAAATAATGGTTCTGTGCGGAATACGTATCGCGCACTACGTCCATTTTATCGTCGGCAAAATCGTCCATCAGAGCAGTTAATTCGATTAACCATGGAACGTTTTCGCACCACGTTTACTCTTATTGATAACTAGCATCCCCAGAGACGCCGGACGGTGCGTACAGAAGAAGCTATTGCTGCTGTAGAGCGTAGCATTTAGGAAGACTCGAATGAGTCCATCCGCCATCGAGCACAGGAATTGGATCTGTGTCCATCCACTTTATGGAAGATTTTGCGGAAGGATCTTGGTTTACGTGCTTAAAAAATCCAACTCGTGCAAGAATTGAAGCCAAACGATCATCAAGTAAGGCGTAGATTCGTCGAATGGGCCCAAAACGAGATTGCCGTTGTTCCCGATTTTCATAAGCGAATTTTGTTTAGCGATGAAGCGCACTTCTGGTTGAATGGATACTTCAACAAACAAAACTGCCGCATTTGGAGCGAAGCTAATCCTCAAGTGTATGTCGAAACACCGTTACATCCAGAAAAACTGACTGTTTGGTGCGCTTTATGGGCTGGTGGAATCATTGGTCCGTACTTCTTCAAAAACGATGATGGCCAGAACGTTACAGTCAATAGTGATCGGTATAGAACTATGATTACTAACTCTTTCATTACTGAATTGAATAACCATGATGTCCAGGAGATGTAGTTTCAACAAGACGCCGCAACATGTCACACAGCTCGTGCCACAACCGATTTATTGAAAGACACGTTTGGTGATCGCCTAATTTCACGTCTTGGACCTGTGAATTGGCCTTCAAGATCGTGTGATTTAACACCGCTAGACTACTTTCTGTGGGGCTATGTAAAGTCATTGGTCTATGCGGATAAGCCACAAACGCTTGACCATTTGGAAGACAACATTCACCGTGTTATTGCCGATATACGGCCACAAATGTTGGAAAAATCATCGAAAATTGGACGTCCAGATTGGACTACATCCGCGCCAGCCGTGGCGGTGATATGCCAGAAATCATATTTAAAATGTAATGCTACAAGATTTTCTTTCGGATAAATAAAATTCATGTCAATCGAATAATCCATCGTTGTTTTATTGCAACTTAAAGTTCTATACATTCGAAAAAACACCCCTTATATATTTTAAAAATCACACAGACTGACTTGAACCGGTTCCAAATGCGTTAGTCCACTGTTATTTAAGGTACTTTAAATACCATAGACAGCTAGCAATACAATTTTTAAATACATATATGGATACAACACTCTCTCAATGAATAGTGCATCCGGCATGTTTTTTATAGTAATTAAAATTGGTGCATTTGGTGCTTTAACAGTTCTATGTGGATACTTTTTCAGTGAACTAGAAAGCGGAAGCATGAAACTGATCGACGACGAATGTAAACCCAGTAAAACCTTTACACGTTCGGGAGCTCAGTTTTATTGGCGCCGCATTAAAAACGAATATCTAAGCGTTTACAAGCCGCGTTTTAAGGTTCTAGCTGATAAAAACCAACCTTGCCGTTGAAGAAACGAGTGGTTGCTCTGTAACGAAACATCAGTACCAGTTTAAAACAATTAAGACTGACTTAAATTTTGCGATTTGATTCGGAAATCGTTTGACTGCCGCGGTTTACAACCTCTTACACACGAGGGTCAATGAATGGTTGACTTAACTTCTAAGCTAGCTTGTAGTTTACTTAGATTGTGTGCTAAGTAAATGTCAATTATTGTTCCATTAAAACATGTATAAAAGAAAAGACAAAAATTGAAAATGAATCCAGTACAACTGTCTACCACATTAATTCACTTTCGAATATTTTTAAAACATTACGCTGCCAAAACTTTTTTGTAATTTGCTATATTGCTCGTTTATTATTGATTGACGTTTTGTCATTGTTATCTATATTGGGAACTTCTATGACCGACAACTGATTATCTGCTTTACTATTCACAAATTCTGCATCGGAGGAATCAAGAAGATTTATAAATAGTATTACGGTGGCCTGTGCAGGTTTCTTTGAAAGATTATGTGGATGTTCTCAAATCAAGCATTATGACACCACTCTTAGTAACTAGAGCATTAAATCTTCTGAACTTTGAATCACTGATGCCTATTTGTATTTATCTGCTCTTCACCTCATTTCATTTATCTTGGGTTTGAATAGATATTTCGCAGAAAGTCTCAAATTTCCATAGGAGATACGTGAGCTAAGAAATGAAATATTTATATAACTTAATTTTATTTTGTTCAGGTTTCTCGTTTTTAAAACGAAAATATTTTAGACCCTTTGGTGTATCCTCTAGATACTTTTAATAGGCAATCCACTGAGCGGTCATAAATGCAGCAGTGCAAACATGAAGGTCGAAATAATGAAACTATTTACATCTGGATAGCAAAGACTAAATTGAACGTAATCTAACTCTGGTGCTCTTGGTACCATAACTATGGCAGCTCACGTGTTCAGGCGTCTACAGAAACATAGTCGGTGACTTACAGATAAACAGTTTAATTATTTAAAGTGGTTAAAAAGTATTATGTTCGATGTATCTATCGTACCTAAGCAGTCTGGTGATGTAATCGGGCCAGTTGTCGGGAAACATGACCAAGAAAAATCCAACCGCTATCAAAATCAACCCGGCAAGCTTCATGCCTTCGAACTGAGCACCGTAGAGGACCACGTCCAACGCTGAAACATTGCTCATTGTAACAGTGGAGCAGACCAAAGCAACGGAAACTCTTACCAGCTGAAACCGGCACTGCCGTGATCAGTCCTAGGGTGATGAACAAATCGTAGGTGAGTGCGACGCTGAAATTTCCCAACAGGTTGGCCACTGCAATGGAATGGGTTATTTGGTTAAACTTTAATGACAGTTAACTACACCTTGGTGTTTCGTGGTTCACATAAATTTAATGTAGTTTTCAATAACATTTTTGGCGCCTAATGGACAAATTCTGCTAGCAGATAACAGGGATCTGTGACGTATTGGTGTGTGCTTAAGTACATATAGCAACCGTCTAGCGGCTATGAAGTTCTGGGCTAGGTGATTTACATCTACAGATATTTATTTGTATTGTAATATCACCAAATAAAAATTTAGATCTCAATTTGAATACATTCTGCATTAACAAGTGCGGAAAAAAATCGACCCTGTCTGTCCTATTCAATGAGCATGGTTGTGAAAATAGTATCGAAATACCTTGTGACATATATCCAAGAAAACTGTCAAATGGCAGCTCTATGCAGGCATACCTTAACCTTAAAGTTCATCAAATACCAATTTTAAAATATGATCTTGTGTACTTTTAATTTGGTTAGACTCCTATACACAAATACACATTATAAAAAATGAAACACTATAAGCTTTCCGAGATTTTTGTAACCTCCTCCGGCATTTTCCTCATTCACTACTTAAGTATGGGCCCTCATTTTTTCGGTGTATTAGCACCTACGCTGAGTGATTTGCATTGAATGTTGAAAGCTTTTTCCATATTTCCGGAAGCAACAAAAACAACTTCAATTTTGAAAATGGAACAGAAAAACGATTATTAAATATTATTATCTCAACAACTTAATGACGTCCTTCTATATGAAAAAAATGTTATACCAGAAATATAGTGCTTTTACAAACGATCCTGTGATCAACTTTGCCCACTCTTTAGTACTCCAAAACTCCAGCCCCGTATAGAAAACCCTGCCGAGCAGACTCTTACCGGTACCCATTTCAGAACCGTCCTAGGAATTTATCTACCTACAATAACAAGTGGGATATTTTCAATCTTTTTCGCCGAGTAATCCTTGAAACACATGCATAAAGAAACTAATACAAAGTAACAATTTATTACGATCTATTTCATTACATTTCTACATAGTATCATTATTAATATACAAAATATTAAATATAATAATAATAATGTAGTATCAGTCACTTAAAAAATCGACACTGTCGCTACTGTCGTCACCTAGTTCAATGATCAACTCCGTCACTAATCGTTTTCGATAAATATTTTCTTCTTTGATTACTCGTTTTTCACAGTTAGACCAGTTTTGTACTAATATTTGAGCTACTTCTTGTCGAATTGCATTTATCGTACTATCCCTAAATTTTGGTGCAGTGTTATTTCCTCTTAAATGCGCTTTCAACTCAGACCAAATCATCTCGATCTGTTTAAATATAGAATGATACGGGGATAGTCTCAAGATTTCATGCCCGTTTTGTTGTGGTATCGAATCGATTTTGGAGTCTTTAATAAAATGTTTTATTTTTAATAAACCCAGAAGTTGTTTTCTCGTGTAGCTCTCATGAAAACATAAATCGTTTTCGTATAGAAATTCTTTAATTTCTTCTTTATTTAAAGAAGTATTTCGAATTTTTCTAATTCATACTGAATGACAACACAATAATAGTATTTGGCGATAATTTTTTCAAACCACTTCTCAAATATTTCCGGTGGTCATCCACACTTGAATCTTTGACGTTTTTCGCAGACAAAAATAAGGCATCTTCCACCCAGCCATTTTTGGACCCAGCATGAAGAATTATTATGCGTTTTCCATGTGAAGGCGACACGTCTATTACACACTTGTTACTGTTGTCACACCATCCCTTTTTTACTGTATCGTGAGTGTCGAACCATGTTTCGTTTAAATGCCATTGCCACCATTGGCCTATTTTGCTATCGAAATTGCATTTAAATAATCTACGCTTTTTAACGTTTTATTGTCATTTGTATGGAACCGAAATTCCATTTTCTTTAAAAAGGTACGCAACGACTCTTTGGCATAACTAATGTTTAAGCCTGTCAGTACCTTTTTATGTAGTTCTTCTAGAGTTAAAACACTATTTACTTTATAAGTGTCGTAGATTATACGTATAATTAGATCTCCATGTTGCTCATTAAAAACTCGCGAAGTAACAGCATCTTCTCTCACGCTTCTACTTCCCAATCTGAATTTTGTATAACTTTGTAGATATTCAAAACAATTTTTTTAGCATCCGAAGACAAAATGGATACCTTTTTTTATTTTCTGAGGTAGTTTGTCTTCTAAATTGTCATTAGGTTCGACTGCCATCTCCATTTCGTCTTCAAATTCTGAGTTGGTTGCCATGTCTTCTTCTAGCAGGGGAACATCTGATTCATTCCACTGTCACCACATTTTAAAGTGTTATAAAAAAGGAACCTTCAAAAAATGTTTAATTGTAAGATTCTAATGTTTATCTGTATTCTTATGACGTACCTTTATGTACCGTGAATGTGATCTATAGTCTTAAAAAAGACAAAACGAAGAACTATGTAAAAGACACAAAAATACAAGAAGAAGAATGAAGAAAATAGACAGGCACACACGACAATAATGATTATTTTCAAACTTACCTGTACGAGAAATAGAGTACAGGTATTTACCCTTACCGTTTGAACTATTCAGTGAAAACAGTCTCGCAGGGTCAAAGCTCGAAAGTCAGGTACATATATACGTACTTACTTCGACTTATTCGAAAATACCCCGCGGCATCAATGCTCAATCAAATATAAAACGGTCTGTTTACGTTTGAAATGAAAATTACGGTCCATATCAGGCAAAGCCTACTTAGTGCAAAATAAACGTCTGTTTGGGTGGGTTTTACCACTGTCCAGCGAAGCTCTGTTAAGGTACTGTAAAATACTTAAAATGTCAACGCAATAAATGCACTATATTTTTGGTCGTATTACACTTGGCGATAATTTTGATAATATTATTTGGGATTCACAGTATTTTTTTTAAAACCTCAACTATTTGAAATATATTGGACGTCGTACAAAACTGTTATAAAATTCAAGGTTTCCTATAAAACCATTAAAAAATATTATTTTACTTTATAACAAAACCCTGCGAAAAGTGTTAACTGGGACATAACTTTCAGGAATTACGAGGTATTAATAATCTTATAAATCTTAAAAGTCTTCGACGTGGGGAACTGATCGGTGAATAGAGTTTTCCATCATTGTCACGATGTTTGTCCAAAAAGGCGACGTATTCAAACATTTTAGAATGATTGCGTTTTGCGATGGAAGCCAAGTCGTAAACATGGCTGCCAAGGTATCTCGGTTTGCGATGGAGGGTATTTGATAAAAGTTTCGTCAAACTTTATCCGGAAATATCGATCCATCTCGTAAACTTTTGCGAGGTACGAGAGAATATTTCTTGTAAAGTTGCGCGATATTTCTACACAAACATAAATAAAGTTACGGAAAAGCATGAAGCGTGAACCTGATACGCAGAATTTTTGACAGGACTCCTTTCAATTTAATCAACAAATTACAGCGTTTTCAAAAAGTAAAGTCTTAGATTCATATCGAAATCTAATATTTGAATGTGACCGAGTCAAATCTCAGTAGATTTGATGGTTTCCAAAATGATGCTTGAAGACCAGGGAATTAGTTCATCTAGTAGGGATGAATTTTTATTCTTAGAGGAGTGTGTTTTTTTCGTTAATTTTTTTGTTCAAATAAATACTTTGGTGTCTGTTAAGCCTTCTTAGATGCAAAAATTATTGCATTTAGTTATTACTCATCTTAAGCACGTTGCAAAAAGAAATGTTCAAAATTCAAAAAGTTATTGAGGTTTTATAAATTACGAAACCTGAAATTCAGTTGATAATCAGATCAGATAAGAGAAATGCAGTCCTAGACTTGATTGGGACTAGCTTAGGTGCGCCTGAAGATGGTAAACTAGTCGAAACGTTGTGATGGTAACCAAAGACATCCTGTAGAATTTTCTTAGACAGAAGAAAGCGATAGGTTTGGTCCGATCAATTGCGGTGTTCTTTTTCTTTATGATGTTTATGTTTATGTTATCTGTCAAAGTGTGTTCTCTTAATTTGTTTGATAATTTTCCAACTGTTTTTCATATGTCTTTACCACAGCGGCACAGTATACTATAAATACCCGCTCCGATTTTTGATAGGTCACCTTCTGAACTTACGGAAGTGCTACAATAGTAGCACTGGCTAGAAATGCTAGATTTTGCACGCTAAACTTATGTCTGGTGGCTACATAAATTATATTTATCAGCCCTAAAATGCTGCAATATACAAAAGATCTTATGATATACTTCCCTCTTTCTCAAGTCGCTTTTTTACATTAAACTTAAAGGCGAAATTTAGCTATAAATGTTACCATTAGCCTCTAAAAAGTTTATAAAATATCTACAGGGTGATTCACGGTGTTTTTTTTGCCCCGTAACTAATTTCTGTTTTTCTTATAATACCTCCATATCCCTATATTTAGCGGGTTTCTTTTAGATCTTTATTACATCCGCATTTGCATCCCCGACGAGCTAAAATTTTAGCTAAAGGTCTCGTGCAATAGTTTTATGTAGAGAAATTCTCTCAGGAAACAAAAATAATAAAACATTTTTGCATATATTTTATTCCGGAATTTTCAAAAGACATTGTTCATATATCTAAGTATTAAGGACATCTAAGTAAACGCAAATTCTAACTGAAATATTTGCTTAGGTGGTCATGAAATTGTCAATCAATTCGATCGAAAATTTGGAAAAATTGATAGTTAATGGATTATTACTAATAGCCATATTGTAAAATTCTCCGAAATGATCTGTTAATATAAAGTTTTGACGAATTTATTTATGTAGAAATTTGTGCACAATAAGTAGTAAAATATTTGCAATAAATTTTCGTATTCTCGTAAAAACAATTTTCTGTAAAAGTTGACGTCAATACTAAGAATTTTTAATTGTCTTCCGACTTAGTGCACTCGTTAACCGGCTTCAGATATAAGCTCGGTCAACTGGTTTGCGAAATATTGGCTAAGGAAAAATGGTGGGTATCGTTTTTCACCAGTAAATCCAAAACGGTTAATCTGACTACTGTCAAAATGTGATATTGTTAAAACAAGTACGAGAGCGTGTATAACATGTTTCAATCGTCTTTTGTTACGCCGCCATCCGCCCTATTGGATTTTTGATTTTTTAGGAAGACGTTAAAATTTCCAGTTCAGTGATGTCTCATAAGTGCACAATTGTATATTATGCAATATATATGTGGAAATAGTATATTATGCAACAAGTGCGGTAAACGGCATTTGACTCACGAGTTTATTTGGCACGAGCGGAGCGAGCTTTTAATAAACGAGTGAGTTAAAAAGTTTACCGAATGTTGCATACTATACTTTTTCTACAACCGTTAGTTTTGGGGTATATTTTCGCAAAACAACACGAATACATCCAACGACAGGTCCGTCAGAATTGACAAACGTCAAAATTCAAAGCGTGGGAAATATCTCCGAAAACATCCGACTGCTCCCAAATCCGTGCGTTAAAATCCCGGAAATGTCCGAAGTGGCTCGGATTTATGGGAAACGAAACTGACATGGTAAAGTGACGCTTCCCGCATGCTAGATCGGTGGGTAATTAGGTATTTTGCAGACGAGAGTAGAAAAAATATTTTGTCACGCTTCGTATAGTTAGTTCTTAATTATTTTATAAGTAGGTCATGATTTATTTGTCACCTTTTTTCTATCTAAGGAGGGCATGAAAGTTGTGTTTTAATAAGTAGTACGTCTTGCCTCATTAAATTCATAAATGTAACAAACTGTTCAAACCTGTTGAAAATGGCGACAAAAACATTTGACGGCTTTACGACCTACTCCCTGGTTTCGACAGTATGGATGTCCAGCTCTAAACACTATTCAAGTCAGGAAATTTTTAATGCAAGAGTTTGACGGAAGAATGATGTCTATGAATGCCCTGAGGCAAAGAGTTTTGAAAAAACAAGAAACATCAATACAAATACTCTCGATTCAAGTGGGGTTAATTAGATTTTATTTTACATTACTTGTAAATCGTTTCTGTCGCGATTTTCTTTTCCAATTTGTATCACATTTGTAGGTGTGTGTAAATTGAATTTACGGCGACTTTTCTGATTCTTTCTGTTTTTAAAAAACACAGATCGGGGGTTTTCGACGATATTTCACGAACCAATTGACCGATCTTAAATCTGAAGCCGATTATTAAGTTTCCTCTAAAACTTTCCTCTATGGGTATAATATGAGCTAAGATCCTCGTACAGGGAAGCGAATCTTGGACACATTGTATATAATATAAAAAAAATATTTTTGTTTCTCCAGGAATAATCGCACATTAGGTCTTGTCTACACGATTTCTGTATAACCTACAGACAAAATTTCAGCTCTTTATGAATAAAAATATGGACATAATAAAGATTTGATGAGAGAAATGTTTTTTATAAAAAAAAGGGAAAATAATTTATTTCTCAAAACCCGCTAAAGATATTTTATAGGCATAGTAGAGAATAAAGTATACGGGGATATTTTACAAAAATAATAAGAAGTTAATAGCAAAATGGCAAATCAGGGTGGCATTTTTAAAACGTCAAAGTTGATGCTACTTTCTCCAAGAGGCGACAACGTCGCGTCTCCGAAAATATGATTTCGTTTTGGGTCTTGCATTGCATGTCCAAAGTGACTATAATCAACCCCCATACATCTACCGAAAGTGAAATTTTTCAATGGCAACACAACATTCCGTGACTGACCTTGAATGTCAATGAATAACAAAACCTGAAATTTTAACCATCGAAAATTTGTTTACGGTTGCGCGTACTTACCTAGCGAGAGGCAACTCGAACTCAACAATGCGGGCCAAGGCAGTTTCTCCCAGTGGAGCGTTTCAACTCCGGTAAGGAAGAGACCGAGACTTAGAGGCCACAATAGAGCGGCATTGAGCATCCCGATAAGCGAGAAGAAGAGCGCGACTTGCCCGTAAGTCGCTTCTCCGATCACCTGCAATAAGAAGTCGGTCTAATCAGCTCGTCGAGGCGGATTTTTACGTGCGGGTCATCAGCGTTTGGAGAGCAACTCCGGAGATTTAATCAAAGATGCAAATTGAATTATCGTCGATGGAGATTTTCGCGTTTTGTTCCGGAAATAGCCAGGCCATGTCGGAGGAAGCTATTAAGAATTTGTTAGAATTGTAACCATAGTTTTTCCTCTCCGCGAGCGATTGCGTGATTCTGGTAATTTGACTAAACTCCTGACAGTGGAAATGTTGATATTGGTAATTCAAACAACACATAACCTCAACCCACTCATATGTCCTGCTTCTCTTGCGTCTGGTGCTGAAGCTGTGGGATGGCTACGAGCATATGGCATCAAATTGCTGTCCTCCTTTGGAAGGTTGTAGTGAAATGTAATGGGATGCTTAATATCTGTAATGTAGAACTTATTTGACAGAAGTTAGATGTTCAGTGATTCGGCTTGAGATAGTTTGACGGCTCGCTATACAAGAGAGTTGATAACCTATGATTTTTGGGCCGGGTGTGATATTGCATTAAGGAATCTAATTGTTTTAGTTTTCTTCAATAATGGTTCTAATTTTCTATTAACAAGAAAATCTAGGAATGGGAGATTATAATTATTAGTTTCTAATTAATTGGTTGGAAGCTCAAAAAGCTGAAAATATCATCGAACCAAAGACCTATTGATACTAGCCTACTAAAAAGGAATGATGTGAAAGTGAAGCTGTACCAAGACATCAATAAGAACCTGAATAAGTTGAAAAATACCCGTTCGGCAACTCAGAACCAACCTGAAGAAATGTGGCAAAGTTTAAAATCGAATATCATAGAACCTTGCAGGAAGCATCTGAAACCGGAGAAAAGAACAAATCGAAAGGATTGGATGACTGAGGATATATTAGTGCTTATGGAAAAAAGAAGAAACCTGAAAAATACGGACAAACAGAAATATAAGGACTTGCATAAGGACATCAAATATAAATGTCGCCAAGCTAGGGAGGAGTGGATAAAAGAGAAATGGGCCGAAATAGAAAATTTGCAGATACTCCACGACTCTCACAGTTTGCATAAAAAAATAAGAGTGTTTACTGGAACTGCTTGGAAGCAAAAATCATATACTATTACAAATGAAAAGTTAAACATTGTATTGGCTATTAAAGAACAACTGATTCTATGGGAAGACTACATTAAAACCATATTCAAAGATCAAAGAGAGGAAATAACTACCAACACTAATAATGAATCTGGACCAACTATTCTAAAGGAAGAAGTACAAGCAGCAATAAAATCAGCCAAAGATGGGAAAGCACCTGGCCCTGACAACCTACCTGCAGAAGCGCTCAAGTTGATTGACGAACCACACTTAGTTGCTGTAACTTCCCTGTTTAATAAGATCTATGAAACAGGAATAATACCAAAGGAATGGCTCCATTCAACTTTTGTCACAATTTCTAAGAAGCCTAATGCCAAAAAATGTGGGGAACACCGTATGATCAGCCTTATGAGCCACACACTGAAGATCTTTCTCAAAGTCATCCACCGCAGGATTTATAAGAAGCTGGAAGAGGATATAGCAGATACTCAGTTTGGTTTTAGAAATAGTTTCAGCACAAGGGAGGCTTTGTAGGCAAACAAAGCAGGGAAAAATTGTGGGAAGAAGATCTATTGGAAGAAGAAGAATATCCTGGCTTAGAAACCTACGAAAATGGTTTAATGTTACATCATCTGACCTATTTAAAGCCGCAGCTTCCAAAATCAAAATAGCAATGATGATAGCCAACCTCCATGAAGAAGAAGAAGAATTAATTGGTTAAAATTATCTCTGAGGAATTCTTGACCATGAGATCAAATAACAAAAGTATCATTAAAGTATATTTTCCATAATTTTGGTTTTGAATGGGAGGTGTCGGGGGCTTTCTTCTCAAAGCCTTCCATAAAAATATTTACTATCACTGGGGATAATGGAGAACTTATAGGATGGAAACTAACCAAAATATCTTTTGCATCTAATCTAATGGTTTTTAATACAATAAAGTGAAAAGATTTAACAATGCTCGATTCATCAACATCCCACACAGGAGGAATTGAAAAGATTTGTAAACAGTATTACAGTTACAGTAATTTCGAAAACTATTGCTCCTACCGACACCTAATACTACCTTTATAATGTGAAAATGATGAAGGAGCTCATTCATTGTACGAAAAATATAAAACAGGGTTGCACAAAAAGTCGTGTCGTCTTTGAAAGTGAGGAAATTTATGTAGCGGATGGTAGCGTCTCCTACAAATACGAACAAATTAAAATTAGTTAGGAAGTAATGAAAAAGTGACCAAAATTGTAATATAACTTTGACTTTCAAAACTTTTGACTCGGAAATTTTCTATTATGTAAGCCGTCCTCTACGCTTCAACCCAGGCATATACGATTTTTAGTTTCTTAAAGTTTATATGAACATTCTCTACATTAAAACGTCGATTGATTGCATATTATTTCTAATCTAATCTCCACTACGAGTCTACCTTTTTAAACAGCACTTTGTACACTCCCGAGCCAGCAGCTGCAGACGTAGCTAGAACCACACCACCTAGTGTCGGACTGCCGGTGATGCCGTCCATATAAGCTAGCAGCGCAACTCCTGTATCGCAAATTATCACAGCCATGATCTGCGCATAAAACGCGTTAAGAAACGGACGTAAAGGTTTTAATTGTGTCGCTACTTACGCGTATACCGACGAATTGTTCGTGCAGTATAACCCAAGACAAGAGGTAAACGAAAGAAACGTTGGTAGCAAACAGAGCCATGACGTCCGTAGCCAAGAGGATTTTTAACGATAATATATACATGTAGTTCGTGCCCACCCATAACAGACAGAAGAGGCTGCACCTCGTCATGAAACGAACTAGAATGGACAAAATATTGAAGACATACATAAAGGTTGCATAACGTAGCAGGTTACGATTCACACTTTTTCTTTTTCGTATTTCGTTACCTGCAGTAAATCCTTTGTCGCGAAAATCTCTGATGCTCTCCGACAATATGTCGGATATCGACTCGCATCTCTTCATGCTCAACCTACTCAAGAAGTATAGAGGAAAGAAAAGCATTGTCCAGTTTGTCACGAACCATGTGGTAAAAAACGGTGCTTGATAAGATAACGTCTAAAAGGAACATATATACAAACACAAGCGGAATTTTTTTGGTTAGCTTACGTATTTTGTTTGTACTATTGTCATGTTAAAACCGGTAGTGTCGTGGGGGACAAGTATAGGGTCCTCGTCGTCATCCTTTGGCCTTCTGAGGTATAAGTATTTGATACAGTGTGTCGCGCCTACCCAGGACGCGGTTACGCAGATCGTTACCCATACTCCAAAGTAAATCTGAAAAAGGTTTTTTGCATTCGAAACCTTTTAATTAATTATATGAACAGGAAAATTTAATAAAATAAATAATAACAACTAATTTGAAATATTTTCAAATTTGTTAATTTTTTTAATACGAGGTTAATTTTTGTCCGCGCATTGGCTGGAACAAATCGATCGATGAAAAATGAAAGCCGCAGTATACGGTTTGCGCTTCTCAACAGCAGCAACAGTAGCGCGGGGGAAGAGCAGGCGAAGATACTATAATCTCTCCCCATATTTTTATTCCGAACCAATATTATACAATATAAGGGGTATTTTTTTTCGATGTATAGAACTTTAAGTTTCAATGACATGAATTTTATTTATCCGAAAGATAATCTTGTGGCATTACATTTTAAATATGATTTCTGGCATATGACCGCCACGGCTGGCGCGGATGTAGTCCAATCTGGACGTCCAATTTGTGGTCCAAGCGTTTGTGGCTTATCCGCATAGACCAATGACTTTACATAGCCCCACAGAAAGTAGTCTAGCGGTGTTAAATGACAAGATCTTGGAGGCCAATTCACAGGTCCAAAACGTGGAATTAGGCGGTCACCAAACGTGTCTTTCAATAAATCGATTGTGGCACGAGCTGTGTGACATGTTGCGCCGTCCTGTTGAAACCACATCTCCTGGACATCATGGTTATTCAATTCAGCAATGAAAGAGTTAGTAATCATAGCTCTATACCGATCACCATTGACTGTAACGTTCTGGCCATCATCGTTTTTGAAGAAGTACGGACCAATGATTCCACCAGCCCATAAAGCGCAGTCAGGTTTTCTAGATGTAACGGTGTTTCTACATACACTTGAGGATTAGCTTCGCTCCAAATGCGGCAGTTTTGTTTGTTGACGTAGCCATTCAACCAGAAGTGCGCTTCATCGCTAAACAAAATTTGCTTATGAAAATCGGGAACAACGGCAATCTCGTTTTGGGCCCATTCGACGAATCTACGCCTTACTTTCATTCAATTCTTGCACGAGTTGGATTTTGTAAGCACGTAAACCAAGATCCTTCCGCAAAATCTTCCATAAAGTGGATGGACACAGATCCAATTCCTGTGCTCGATGGCGGATGGACTCATTCGAGTCTTCCTCAATGCTACGCTCTACAGCAGCAATAGCGCCTTCTGTACGCATATATAATATAATAATTTTAATATTGAATTTTCGGGCATGCCTCTACATGTCACCCACTAACATTGCGCCATTTGCTAGCTGAACAGCGATTTCTACACACTTAGAGATCTAGGCATACTTTGAAAAAAAGAGGTACCATGTTGGCAGTTGAATCCCGCTAGGTCATTGGTTGAAAAGTAGGTTTCAAATCTCGCGCATCCGCATGTTATATGGACATTCTTAATTTATTTTATAGTCTCTTCGTAAGTTCCTATATTATTGATATAGGCAGAGACCCTTATTATGTTGTTGAAATATTTGTATTCGACTTTAACACCTTTCTTTTCTTTTGTAGTTTTAAATTGGGTTTCGGTAAATCTTCACATTCGTGTTTTTTCGAAATGTACTTACTATCAAGTAGTTCTCAGTCTACAGACATTTATCGTGAGAACTGAAATAATCAGTCAGCTGAATTCTAACAAACATAACAACTTTAACTACAGTCAATTCAGACGCGCTCACTTGAAATCGGTAAGTAAAATTAATTAAGAAAATAAAAAAGAATTTCGATGAAGCTTTATTAATATAAACTTTTCTTATACGGGTATCCTAGAATATATAGAGGATTGCCATTCGACCCGTAGTACCATTCACGTAGAAGTACTTTTCTTGCCTTTACTATCTTTTATTCAACCCAAACAGTGGAGTTCACCAGTTACTTGGAGAATATTGACATTAAACACAATGTTGATTTCTCGTGATGTCGGAAATTTATTCTCAAATATAGCCACATCTGGGTGCATTGATTTAAAATTTTTTTTTATTGGATATCACTATTTTCCTAAAAGTTGTTATCACTACTGCGTTAGAACAAAGAGTCTATAAACTTTATAAGAAGTTTTTTAGACGTTTGTCTGAAATATTAATTTGATCACCTGTCTTAAGTGAAATTTCCATGAACAATCTTGAGAGCTTGCCAATTCTAAACATATTTAATAGATGATCCAAGATATCTGGATGATATCTGCATTGTTTGCCATGGGAACCATCAAACTTTGCAGTTTCTCGATATTATTAAATTTATGTTATTTGTTTTATTATTATTCCCTCTTTCCTAGGTCTGATGTTGCGAAACCCGTGTAAACAATTATTTTTGAAAAGTTGACTTCCGAGTGTGTTTAAACTTTTATAGGTTCGTGAGACCAGCTGGACGATTGTTGTATTATAAACTTAACTAGATTAAAAATAAAGTAGAAAGGAACCTTTCTTTAAAATTAAACTAAGTTCAATTGGCTTTCATAGGGGATGGTGGGGCAACAAAAAAGAAGCATTTTTTTTGTTATTATAATTATAAATTTTGGTTATTTGTACATTTTTAGCCCTTTGCGTAATACCAGGGGTAATTTACTGTAGTTTTTTATAATTCTATGACTAAAGCCAGAGCTTTCGAAAATCTTATAAATATCAGTAACGTTTTTTTTTATTAATTGCTTTTTAATAAATGATTATTATCTTTATATATAACATTATAAATATTCACTACGCCACTGAAGTTTTCCATAATAGAGCGTACTTTTCTGGTAACAATTTTGGATGAATTTATTTTTAAAGATTTGCTTTTTAGAATCTGCTTGATTGGGACATAAATACAAAAGTGTCGATAAAGATGACATTTGCCATTCGTCATTCGCCGAGTTGTTTCGCTACTGAAACATGTCGGCTATTCATTTGTCTCGATTACCGCCCAGCAGGCAATCGGGGCGGCTACTGCAAGACAGCGACACGGCAAATTGAGCTATCGATTCGCGTAATTTTATAACAACCAGATAGAGGGATGTTCCCCGGGGACGGGGCCGGATCGAGGAGATTGGAAGTTTTAATTAAAAGGTGACGTTGGTCAATAGAACTAGGCGATTCTGTCAGGGCAATTGTTTGGTACCTATTTCCGCTTATATAAGTTGTAGTTATATAGTTTCTCTTACCAATTATAGAGTGCAACTGAGATGGAGCCATGTCTATTTTGTATTCCGTAATCCCTGATCTGTTAAATCTTCACCTTTTATTGGATCTCGCTATAGGCATAAACTACTGCATTATACTGCAATTATATACTAAATAAAATCAATGCTCTGATTGTTTGTTTGAAGAAAGCAAAAAACCTGCATGAAACAAAATTTGAAGTCAATTCTGGTTTTCCAATGGTTGACGGTAATTGAAGAAGTCACCATCCACATCAGACAAACTTTTGTGAAGTGTGAAGCTCAAACAATCAAAACCTGAAGTACTAAAGATACTGTGATGTGACAGGCTAGTCAAAGACAATGTGCTAAGGTGCATAAAGAAGAACATAACATAATAGTGTGGCCACAGAGATTTTTCTAGGGTCATCGCAAGAAGAATCATTAAGCAAAAAGACGAGCTCGATCAGTGTGTAACTATGGATCAGTGTGAAGCTATGGACTTTCAGAGAGGCTGACCTAAATGAAACCTCTGTAATTTCAAATTCTCTAGGTCGCCATAACGACCAAGCCAAAGGTTAGCACAGTTTTCACGCACACTTAACTTTAACTCTACATTCGCATTTTATTTGTAGATTCCTTTTATAAACCTTTTGAATTCTATAAGCAACTTTTTTTTTATGGCCTAGAATGCTTTAACGGGAAATTGCAATTTTCTATCTTGTTTTGCTTGCCTAACGTGTTACATACATAACATTATTTGAATAGCACTTACATATCCTTGTTTCTGTTCTTGCTAGCTTAACTTCCTTGCAATTGAGATTTACCTGTTGAACAGTTTTGTCAATTCATTTGTAATATAAAACAACTTCATAAAATCATCAAGAGCGTTGTAAGCAAGTTTGGTATTTTCCAGTTGCCGATAAAAATTGAAATCGGGACGAGATAGAAAACGTTTCAGTACAAGTGTCGTAAAACATTCCCAATTTGTCACGTCGTTCAATTCGCGAGCCTGCCGTCTTGCGTGTTGCCGACTTTGCGTGTTTCTGATTTAATTTTAAACGCCTCGATCGTTGGTAAAATATAACGGCATATATACGAGCGCGATTTTCCCCTAAATCGCCGTATATAATCACACACACTTATGCAATTTACTTTGCAATCGGAGAACACCGCACGCTTGAGCGTGTAAATAAATACTCGACTTTTGAAATTGCAGTGGAATAATGATATGAAACAAACAAAGTTTTACTACTACATTTAAACCAAGAACCTTAGTAGCCTGTCTAAGTATTAGTACAGTTTTCGAGGTATTAAATATAATAAAACTCGTAGCTGTTAACCAATTTGTTTTCTTAATCACTTAATCAAAGTTGCTCTCCACAGACATATCTTCTATATACGGAAATTGTATAACTCTTCTACGTAAAAGACATTTGATTGTCCCAAGCACATGCTTTAGATTCTCTGCGGTCACAACTTAAATTCCTGCCGCCTAACCATATTGGACATCTAAATTAGTTGAAAGCTGCAGTTTCGACATACCAATTGAATGCAACTAGAATTTTTTTTGGACCACTGGAAATACTGCGGTAGTATAAAATTTAAATTGGTTGCGTGTGGATAAACTTTACGTAAAAAATCTTTAAAAGTTCCTGAGACATTTTGTTTGGTTTGTTATTGTGTATAATAGTATAGAAATATAGACAACGGGCAATCACTGCAATAAAATAGTATCCAATTATATTTAATGTTATGAAGAATTTCACCCTTCGTGTTTATTACAAGCCGCATTAAAGAAAACCACAGTTTGTGTGTCCATTGCCGTGGATGGTGATCAATCGAAAAAAATTACCAAAACGACTAATACTGAAAATATATGAAAAAACGACTCTATTCTTCGGTAGCGGGGGAACGAAGAAGCAGCAACCAAAGGATCAAAGCCATCAAAAAATAAGACAACAAATTAAACTAAACAGGTGGCCAATATTACCGCCAAACGAAAACAAGCTTGTCATCCTCTAACCAACAAAACAAAAAATAAGTTTAGATCCCGAATTAAACTAATAGTTCTGATGACTTCCAGACTATAACAAGGACCTAAGCCAATTGAAGATGACATTCCTCTACTAGCGGGTATAAAGTTCGCATGGGTATTTCTATCCGGAATCGAAACAATCGAAAAAATCCCTGATTGCTTAAAATCAAAGTTACTTAACGAAGGCTGCCAACGTGACAAAATGATAACTCGCAAAGACAAATACCGAAGTTCTTTCAAGTTAGTCGTTGCTTAGCATCGAAAAATAGTATATTATGTAACAAGTGCGATAAACGGCATTTGACTCACGAGTTTATTTGACACGAGCGGAGCGACTGGTTAATAAACGAGTGACTTAAAAGGTTTACCGAATGGGTTGCATACTATACGTTTTCTACGACCGTTAGTTTTTGGGTACGTTTTCTGAGAACAACACGAATACATTCACTGACATGGCTGTCAGAATTGACAAACGTCAAATTCAAGGCGTGGAAAATATCTCCGAAATCATCCCATTGCTCCCAAACCCGTACGGTAAAATCCCGGGAATGTCCCAAGTGGCTCAGATCAGTGGGAAATAAAACTGACGTGGTAAAGTGACGCTTCCGGTACGCTAGATCGGTGTGTAATTACGTATTTTACAGACGGGAGTGGAAAAAATAATGTCACCAGACCGAAATTGTAATAATAGTATATTATGCAACAAGCGCGGTAAACGGCATTTGACTAACGAGTTTATTTTTGATCAACGAGTGGGTTAAAAAGTTTACCGAAAGTGTTGCATACTATAATTTTCCTACGACCGTTGGAAACATTTTCGTTAAACAACACGAATGTTTAACGAAAATGTTTCCAAACACCATACAACAATACCATTGTAATCTTATTAATTGTGCTGCGAGTGTTGATAACAAGTGTGAAAGATTAATAACTGGGGTTGCAGCCTTTTCCACAGAAAACTCTCACCAGCAGAATAGGTCAATCGTCAAAATAATTTGAAAACCATGATAATCTGATTTAAATAGCTAAAAATCCTGGCGGAAGTACTTGACATGTTGTAAACTCACTTGCCTCAAACCTCCAAACATATTTCAACTACCACCCCAGAGAAATTTAATGATTACTTTTCACTCTCCCCTCAGGGAAAGGGAAAATACCGATTACGATCGACCAGATAGTGTAAAACAAGTAACTTATAAACATACACCTTTTAGCTCAAATGATGTAACTTTCATTCAAGTTAGCGATGTAATAGATAATATTAGACATATACATAGTTTCGATATATACGTACTAAATCATTGAAAATCATTGAAATAACAAAAAACCTCTAAAAAATGGTGATATATTGCATTATTATATCAAAAATATTACAAACATGCATGGCGCGTCAAATATGACACTTTCTAGAGACTAGCAACCTGCACTCCAATTGTCACTTTGGAGTTCATGAAGGGATAAACACGATTATGGGAATACTTGATTTATTATCGAGAGGCTTAAACAAAGTGTGATCTGCCATTTAAGTAAGGATTTCGAGTGCGTCTCTCAAGATCTTCTATTGAAAAAAACTAACATACTACAAATTCAGTAAAAATAGCTTAAAGCTAATTTATCGTCGATGGAGTGGTTTGAATAACAACATTTTTTTCACACTTCGCGAAACAGATTGTCACCGGGACGGCCTGAAGGGTGTGCGCTTCCTCGAAGTACAATTAGATAACAAATTACAATGGGACTCCCACATAGATACAAGCCAACTTCGGGGAAGCGTCTTCTTACTCCGTATATTGCATCTGTATAAAACATCTATTTCGCACTTTTCCACCCTAAAATGTCCTACGCAGTTCTGGCGTAGGACGCCTGCAGAGTATACTGACCGGATTTTTGCATTACAGCAAAGAGCAATAAGGCTTAATGCAGGTTTGAGATGGAGGAAGGACTGCAGGCAGCAGAGGTGTTATATCCAAAAGCCCTAAAATAATTACCTCTAAATAAGACTAAAAATGTATTAAAAGAGCTGCTCCTCCCAAAAGTTTTTTACAACTGGAGGGATTTCTTCGATCATACGCTTAGTGCGTCAATGCCTAGGTTAATGTTTAATATACGAGGGTAGCGCCAAAATTTCCCGACCTGACGTAGATGCAGCTCCAGTATCACGATAAAACTTTGACTTCTTTTAAATATGTATCTTAGTAGACTGCGAAAAAAAAATTGAAGTCTTGCGTTAAATAGTTTTTTATTGACAGCATTTTAAACAAGACGTGTCCGAAAAAATGTCGCAAATAACGCGAATTGAGTATAGAGCAGTCATAAAGTTTTTGGCAAAAGAAGGGTTAGCACCTAAAAGTATTAAAGAAAGGCTGCATGGTGTGTACGGCCAAAGTTCTTCTTCGTATTTTGTAGTGAAAGAATGGGCAAAACGTTTTCGAATGGGGCAAGAGTCCCTTGGTGGTATTGAGGGATCCACTTTTGAAGGTCAAAGATATCTCCGAAATTACTAAGCTTTCTGATACAAGTGTTCGTCGAATCCTGCATGATCATTTAGGTATGCATAAGGTTAGTGCTAAAAACCTTTCGGCTATTAAAAAACAACGCAGTGTCGAGTGTGCGCGGTCCTTTTTGGAACTCTGTGGGTCGGAACCAAAACCCGTGATAGAAACTATTGTGACGGGAGATGAAACTATGGTTCTCTGTTATAACGTTCTATCGAAAAAAGAATCAATTGGCGTCGTAAGGTGAAGCACCTCCAAGAAAATTCAGAGTCTGCCAGTCAACAAAAAAGGTGATGGCCACGATCTTTTGGGATTGTGAAAGAATTCTTTTGATAGATTTTAAAAAAACTAATACCGCTGTCAATGGTAAATATTACGTAACATTATTACATAAATTGCAAGACTGCATACTTGTAAAACGTCGAGGAAAACTGACCCGAGGCGTGCATCTTTTGCACCATAATGCACCTGTCCATACTGCTGTTGTTGCACAAGCTGCCATTTTAGAGTGCTACTATTTAGAAAGCGACTATTATTTGTTTGGATATTTGAAAAAGGACTTACGTGGACGACGGTTTAACAACGAAGTTAAGTTAAAAGAGACTATTTTAGCTCATTTTGCAGACAAACCAAAATATTATTTGAAAAATAATAAAAAATTGTTACTCTACTTTGTTTCCTTCATATTCATGTCGGGAAATTTTGGCGCTGCGCTCATATGTGGTAAAATATGTTTTGTAGATGTGTAACATTATATACAGGATATTTTTTTGACGAATGTATGTTTCTCTTTGTATTCACATAAAATTACATAAATATAGAAATAAATAAAATACTCTTAGTCAAACCTACGAAGAACGAAGAACTCACTTTCCTGGCAGACTTGGAACATAGTGATGCCGAGCACGACTTGAGTTTCCCGCTACATCCTCCCCTGTGTGCAGCATCGCTTAATCCAGGGGCGTTGTTTGCCTGGGGGGTGGCCGGGGACAATGGTTCCACGGAATCGGGTTGACTTCCGACTGAGTCGGAATGCCCGAACGAGGGACCGTTGGCCACCCCCTCGTCGGTTATTAGGACGCTGGGGGCGCGGTTTCTACCTCCTCGGGGGTTGAAGATCGTCGGTATATCCCCGTCGCGGGTCATGGCTTCGAAATCCTAATCCATGACGACGGAGCGTTCGTGAATCGTAGCAGTGAATCTGAAAACTAAGATCATAGCAATGAAGTTGTTTTGTAACAAAAAAAAAACTAAAAAGTTAATTTTGAATATTTTCGTACCATCAAACAAAGCAGTAGAGTAAGTCAGAAGCAAGAGCATTTTCCAAACACACTCTCATTCAAACCCTTCTTGTTTTTCCGCACTTCCTTCATCCATTACTTCATTCCTAACTACTGTTTGCTCATACTTTCTCAACATGTATTGATATTTTCCTCCGCTTGCTTGACGGTTGATCGCGTCAGCTGCTGAAGCCTTTATATGTGCATTAATTTATAGGTCGTCTCTTGCTAATAATGACTGACCGAACAAATTGACAGACAATCGAATGGTCCCATCAGGTAAGGAGCGCAAAAAGGCAAAGAAAAGAACAATGGAAGAATTGAACTAAGATGTGAGTCGAAGCATCAGTGGTTCGCATTTGTAAAGGGGAGAGATCAAATTGTTGCAGATTGGGTTATTCAGTGTAACGTGGTAGAACGTATATTGATAGAAAATCACTGGAGCCTTTTTTCTTCCAAAAATGCTGGTACGGAAGGCGTGCTTCGTATATGGGATTGAAATAAAGAAGTGGAACATCGAATTGAAATGGTGGAATGTGATCAGGAAACGAAATCAATTTGAAACCCAAGTAAATTAAATGTGCATCAATTGTTTAATTAAAACTGCCTATGAGAATGCAGTTGTCCTCAAATACTCGTTTCACATTCCATGTCTTGCTTTACCATAATATTTACAAATCTAAATATTTTTTTTGTATTCTACTCCGTACCTACTTGTATACTGTTTGGTGAGTAGCGGTTAAGATTGTTTGGTTAGTTAAAAATTGCTATCGATTCTCATATTTTTCTTTAGTAAAATAATATATGCAAGAATCTTAGTTTGTTCGATGTCGGGATTCATGATTCATGATTATGTATGATAACTGCTGATGAGTCTATTTGTTGTAATCTTAATGCTGTTTCATGTTCTTTTAGCCTGATTGATATTTTTCCTCGTGATGGATCAAGATGTTGAGAGATTTTTTGGTAAAGTGGTAAATCTGGTCTTAACATTTTAATATGTTGTCAGTAAAGTTTTAAATAATGTTTTTCTACTCCCGTCTGTAAAATACCTAATTACACACCGATATAGCGTGCAGGAAGCGTCACTTTATCACGTCAGTTGCGTTTCCCACAGATTCGAGCCACTTCGGACATTTCAGGGATTTTACCGCACGGGTCCCACGTTTTGAATTTTGATATTTGTCAATTCTGACGGTCATGTCGGTGAATATATTCGTATTGTTTTGCAAAAATGTACTCAAGAACTAATAAATATAAAAATGTTATGCAATATATCAGACAATTTAAATTCTACGTTCTATGAGCTGCAATTAAAATCTAGTGGACTAGTAGGTAAGTAAAGTGATATTTATAATTTAAGTTTCCAACAGAAATTTTACATACCGCTCGCACGAACTTTAGTGGCTTTTACAGTTTTTTATTTTAATATCTTGCCAAGACGAATTGTACCATTTTCAAATATTCATGTCTCCAGTACAAACAAAAACAAATTGAAGGTTGGGACCTGCTTCTTCTTGCTTATACGATCTTAACAATTTAATTCTTTTAAAAGCTCTATCCTTTATTATTACAACCTTTTTCATTAAATTAACTACTTCATGATCAATTTTAAAAGTTAAATAAACAACATAATTTTTAAAATTTTGTTTATTCCGTTATTTGTATGACATATCCAATAATACATCTCTCTGTGTGTAACGTACACAGTTAAAAAGAGACAACAATAGCAGAATCGATCGGAACGAAAAACGAATAGGTTTAATCGCAACTAGTAAATATTTTGTTTGAATGGTGCTAAATTTAGTAATCCGATAATCTGTTATTATTTTTAATTTGTTAAATTGTGATTTTTTCGTGACGGTCGAAGAAAAAGTATAGTATGCAGCTCTTTATCTCGCTCGTTTATTAAGCACTCGCTCCGCTCGTGCCAAATAAACTCGTGACTCAAGTGAAACTTACCGCACCTGTTGCATAATATACTCTTAAATACAAATTCTGAACCAGCGTATTGTTCGATAAGCATTGCCTGGGTCATGCTTAATAATTAATTTTTCAGTATTATAATTTGGCGCCAAATTTGTACTATTCTGATAAAGTGCATCGAAGCCTACAACCTATATCAGAAAACGTAAAGTACAAAACACTTTTACATGCGCGAAGAAGCTGTCATTTCTTAAATATGACGTACGTTTAAAATAATCCTTTCATCCAGTAAAAACTTTCCATGAAAGTTCCAAACATCATGTATAAAGGGAATGAAACGGCAGCTAGCATCGAGCCTTAACATGGAAACTATGTCGCAAGAACATCAGAATCGTAAGCATGTAATAACTCTTTCGTCAAACAACTCGAAGATCTGCCGAATATTTGAAAAACAAAGTCGTTGCGAGAGGCAAACACGTGGAGTTTGTGGAACGGATTACAGGAAGAATTTGCGGATTAATACCAAACTTACGGAGCCCTTTAGTCGTGCTCAGTGCATTGCTTTTAAAATCGATCCTCTCTGCGTTAATGATATTGACAATGAATTTTGCACTATTGCTTAGGAATTATACCTACTTCTCAAAATCGCTCTTATTTATTTGAGCAACTGGATCTGGAGTAGGAAATATAATTTAAGATTTAAAGCATTCGAGCCTGGTACAATTTGTAATTAGATCGCAGATTTGGAAACGCCTGATTCAAACCTTAGGATCATCTTTTCTCCCTACCTTAGGCAATAATAATAATAATAATAATAGCTTTATTGCTCAACAGAAAACAATCCACTTACAGAGCAATGTATAGTAACAAAAAAAAAAAGAAACAGTATGTAATATAACGTAACTTAACCTATTCTGGTGAGTTGTTCGAGAAAGTTGACAAAGTGAGCTCCAAAGAAATTAGAATAACCATAGATCTTGATTCCGGCTAGCGGCGACTAGACATCAAACATATATTTCTCAATTCCCTCAGTCCACTGTTAAATATGTCACACACGTGCGAAACAGAATTACAATTGGAACATGCTATATTTATATGCGAATTTTTTAATAGGTTTGTTCTTGCCGGAACACAGTGAAAGGTGCCTTTGGTGTGCGAATTGAGCGGTGGTACACGAATATCTAAATACTCTAGTAGATTCGGACTATCTATAATGTTGTGTAGCAATTTATAAACAAAGATAACTGACACACAGTTCCGCCTATATTCCAAGCTATTCATATTAAATTTTTCCAAGTTAAATTCATAGTTTATGCCTCTCGGTGGATACGCGCCTTCTGTTTTGAACAACAGATACTTCAAAAACTTTTTCTGTACACCATCGACTGCCCAACTATGACAAGAGTAAATCAGATTCACACAACCTAGGCGTATTCAAGTTTAGATCGAACATAGCTAAAATACAGGGCCTTCAAAGCAGCAATGTCGGAAAAAGAATTGCAGTTGCGTACTATAAAACCGTAATTACGGTTAGCCTCCGATACAATGCTCGTCATGTGGTTCACGAATGTAAGTCTTTGATCGTAATACACGCCCAAATCTTTAGTATCTGTAACACGTCGGATAATAATATTTGAGATTCTATATTGAAAATCGATAGTTTCTTCCTTACGAGTGAAGCTTAGAACTTTACATTTATCTACGTTAAGACTCAATTCATTTGAGATACACCAGTCAAAGAGTATATCCACTGATCTCTACTCATCTCTGCAACGTAACACAATCAGCAATACTGCAAATGGAAGTATAAATTTTTAAGTCATTCGCAAATAACAGCATTAAGCATTTAAGTCCTCCGCAAAAATTAGAAAGAGTAAAGGTCCTAAGTTAGAACCCTGTGGCACTCCTGATGTGAAATATCTATTAGATGTGTCCTGTCACTTTCTGAGAAACATCACCGCAACATCGGCAAAGTTTTTGAAGCAAACCGGCATGACTTATTTTGTCGAATGCTTTACTAAAATCGGTATATTTACCATCTACTTGTCCTTGGCTGTCAAGCACCCTTGCTGCATACTCCGTAAACCGTACCAAATTAGTAACTGGAGAGCGGGAGTTATAAAATCCGTGCTGACTTGGAGAGATAATGCTTCTGACAGAGTTAAAAATACGGTCATACAGAACGACCTCAAGTTTCTTTCACCACTTTTAAAAATTGGACAGACCCTGGATTCCTTCCAACATCGCGGATAAATTTTGCAGGAGAGCGCAAGGTTAAATATTTTAAGTAAAGGCTTCGAAAAGGCACTAACTATAGAACTTTAAGTTGCAATAAAACAACGATGGATTATTCGATTGACATGAATTTTATTTATCCGAAAGATAATCTTGTGGCATTACATTTTAAATATGATTTCTGGCATATGACCGCCACGGCTGGCGCGGATGTAGTCCAATCTGGATGTCCAATTTTCGATGACTTGTTCCAACATTTGTGGCCGTATATCGGCAGTAACACGGAGAGTGTTGTCTTTCAAATGGTCAAGCGTTTGTGGCTTATCCGCATAGACCAATGACTTTACATAGCCCCACAGAAAGTAGTCTAGCGGTGTTAAATCACAAGATCTTGGAGGCCAATTCACAGGTCCAAAACGTGAAATTAGGCGGTCACCAAACGTGTCTTTCAATAAATCGATTGTGGCACGAGCTGTGTGACATGTTGCGCCGTCTTGTTGAAACCACATCTCCTGGACATCATGGTTATTCAATTCAGTAATGAAAGAGTTAGTAATCATAGCTCTATACCGATCACTATTGATTGTAACGTTCTGGCCATCATCGTTTTTGAAGAAGTACGGTCCAATGATTCCACCAGCCCATAAAGCGCACCAAACAGTCAGTTTTTCTGGATGTGTTTCGACATACACTTGAGGATTAGCTTCGCTCCAAATGCGGAAGTTTTGTTTGTTGACGTTAGCCATTTAACCAGAAGTGCGCTTCAT